TCTCTTCTGACAGTATCCGGAGACACCGTAAGGACTAGCCGTGCTTATCCCTGAAGTCGATATCCGGCGTCTTGTCTTGGCGTATGTTGGCTTGTATGTTGTGGCTTCTGTTGTTCCGTAGATTGTGGTGGTTCTGTCGATTGTGGGTGTCTCTCATAGTGGGCGTTGATTGTTCCCTCTCCTCCTAGGGGGTCTTGTATTTATACCCATAAGTATCTCCTTGTCTAAGTAGAACTAGGGAAACCAATATGGATACAATCCGAGTAGTCCTCGTGGTTCCGTTGTATAACTCTGGTTATCTTTCTTTATCCGGAACTCCTCCTATATCCGCAGATTGTTTCCGTATAGGACATGGTATGTGGTGGGTCCTGCTGAGATTTAGTCAACTACTATTAGTTATGTGGTATCTATAACCCTGACAACATTAAACGAAACAGATCCTATGATATTGACAATATATGAAGTTTTTCTTCGGATAATAGCATATAAAGATGGATATTTTGTCATTCATGTGTTCTTTTTTCAGTGGGGGAGGTCGATCGTGACGAAACGGCGCGCGCGCGCGCGGCGGAAGGTGTCACGTTGGTTGCGTTTACCTCCTGATTTTGTCACTTCGAGTTTGGCTGACCGACTGACCAGCAACGAAACGAAGTTTAAAATTACGAGTAGAAATATGTTCCACGGCAGCGGGCCCGTCGAATCTCGCTGGAGATATTGGTCCGGCAAAAGATCTCTTTCTTTTGATACGAAATGGAAAATCCCGAATCTCCTCATCACTAATGAAAAGCACGCAGCAGCTACAGGCAGCACGAGCTAGATGGAAACTTTGAATTTGACCGTGTTACAACGGAAGAGCGAGGGATCGCCCAGAGCGATCGGGTGCAACCCCTCCCTCCACCTGTTTTCTTTTTTTTAACACCACATTACTTTACTATTTTAGTAAATTTATGCATCTAAAGTTTATACACCTCACGTTTACACATCTAAAGTTTAGAGACCAAAAGTTTATAAGTCAAAAGTTTATATATCCGATTCAAATTTGAATTTGAATTCAAATATCTTTTATATATATAGTATTTCTATACATCTAAAGTTTATAGACCTAAAGTTTATATATCCGATTCAAATTTGAATTTGAATTATATCTGATTCAAATTTGAATTTGAATTCAAATATCCGATTCAAATTTGAATTCAAATATTTTTCATATATAGTATTTCTATACATCTAAAGTTTATACACCTAAAGTTTATAGACCTAAAATTTATATACCCGATTCAAATTTGAATTTGAATTATATCCGATTCAAATTTGAATTTGAATTCAAATATTTTTTATATATAGTATTTCTATACATCTAAAGTTTATACACCTAAAGTTTATAGATCCAAAGTTTATAAGTCAAAAGTTTACATAACCGATTCAAATTTGAATTTGAATTCAAATTTTTTATACATAAATTTTTCTAATTTTTTTTTAAAATTTTTTTTTGGTGTACTGTAATAGGAAAAGAAGGGGAGGAGGAAGGGGAGAAAACGATAGCTGGGCGAGCGCGTGTTACAATGCTGTGAAAATTACTCTCCCTGGCCGTCTCAAATTATTCGTCGATTTGCTTTATCCTATATCAGAAATTTCTATATTTGACTATGGATAGGGAAAGAGCCGCGAGGACTCCGATGACAACGTTGGATTTGTAGGCATGGACGCATGGTTGACTGCGATGGCGATGGCTAGGTCCAATGGCCTATGACCATATCTGGCCTCCCTAGCAGTTTTCAACAACTTGGCTGTGATTAGTTTCCTCGAACCTCCAATCTTTTCGTCACATCAAATATTTGAACACATGCATGGAGCATTATATGTGGATAAAAAAACCAATTACATAGTTTGTATATAAACTGTGAGACGAATCTTTTTAGCGTAATTACGTCATGATTTGACAATGTGGTGCTACAGTAAACATTTACTAATGATAGATTAATTAGGCTTAATAGATTCGTCTCGCAGTTTACAAACGGAATCTATAATTTGTTTTGTTATTAGTCTACGTTTAATGTTTTAAATATGTGTCTATATACGTTAATTTTTTTTACCAAAACAACTAAACACGGCCAAGGGAGTTGGCGGATGCATTATGGCAACTTAACGACACCATGCATCAGCAATGACAAATGCCACGGAGTTTTTGGCGATGGAGCTGTTGGCTGGATGCATATATTTTAGCTATCTATATCCATATGTGATATAGAGATCAAATTTTATCCATTATCTAAAATAATATTTAACTATGGATATGTACGTGTATCTAATATATAACTGATATGCTATGATTTAATAGTGTCCACGTAATACAGTACTATCTCCGTTTTAAAATATAATGATGTTTAGTTATGAATTTAGACAATCAGATTCATAGCTAAAACTTATTATATTTTGGGTGGAGAGAATAGCTCGTTTGGTGGATCATTATGTTAGAAATAAAAATGTAAATTAACTTTTGAGTATTAAGCAAGAAGTCAAGAAAATCTGGTTTCGATAATCTTAGGTGCGCCCTTCCATTTCTGATGAAACAGATTAATACACAAGTTTTTCTGAACTTCTAAATGTTAGTGACTCTTGTAAAAACCTTTTTACAAGTGAGTTTCTTATAATTTTTTAAAATCTGTTTTCTAATAGTTGATATGCTTATTTGTACTCTTTAATAATTATTACAAATCATTATAGTAGTAGCTTGTATTGATGTGATTGATACTCCACCACGCTTTTATGGTAAAGTCTTGGAAAATTTGAGGATTATGACTAAGATTTTGTAATCCATGCTATTTCGATAGATTCTTATACCGTTTAATTTTTTTTCTTTTCATATAAAGTACCCTCTCCATCCTACTCCATCCTAAAATATAAAGATTTTTAGTTGAATGGAACACATCATAGTACTAGAATGTGTCTCGTTCAACTAAAACTCTTTATATTTCAGGACTTTGGGACGGAGAGAGTAGTGCACACTTTCTTTTCATATGTTGTTTCACGTAGAGGTGTTTAGATTTAAGGGTGTAAAGTTTTGACGTGCCACATCGGGTATTATATAGAGTGTTGCATGTGGTGTTCGGGTACTAATAAAAAAACTAATTACAGAATCCGTCAGTAAACCGCGATATGAATTTATTAAGCCTAATTAATCCATCATTAGCAAATGTTTATTGTAGCACAATATTATCAAATCATGGAGCAATTAGGCTTAAAAGATTTGTCTCGCAAATTAGTCGCAATATGTGCAATTAGTTATTTTTTAGCCTATATTTAATATTTTATGCAAGTGTTCAAACGTTTGATGTGATAGGTATTCAAACGTTTGATGTGGAGTAGGTGCGATCTAAACAGGGCCGTACAGAGCTTAAGCGGTGAATATTTTTGAACCATGCAACCCACGCTAATGAGACGAAAACCAAGCACGCAACTGCAAATTTTACTGAAAATTCTATCTTAAATACATGAAGACCACGTCATCAAGGGTATCTGTTTCTCCTACTTGTATCAAAGATTATCATCCTTCTCCTGGTTTGATTCCAATCAAATCTACTATTTCAAATTTGAATTCTTGAAAACCATTTAAAATTTTACTTGAAATATACCAAGTGTTACTCCCTCCATCTACTCTTGATAGTCATATTTTATCTTGGCACACAGACCAAGAATAAATAATTCTACTTATCATCTATTTAAACATGCTAATAGTCATTCCTCTTAAACAAGCGATTCATTAATATTTATATTTTTCGATGCTCATGTAGCTGATCTTATGTGGAAGAATGGAGAGTCACGCATTAAATCTGAGAAAGTCATTAAGATGATAAGTTGTTGGATTAAAATATGCCTATCAAAAATAATTTTTTCAGATTTGAAAATATGCCTATAAAAAATAGATGGAGGGAGTACCGTCTTGCATTGAAACCTCAAAATCCCATGTTTTCCATTGGTTTTTGTCGACAAAGTTAACCCCACCGAACAATCTTCGATTACCAAAGGCCGTTGCGGAGGCAATCCTCACTAACTCACATGTAAAATCAAGAAAAAGGAATAAGTTTATTTTCCCACTTTCTAAATCATCGGGAGAGTTGATTTTTATTGGTTTTAAAAAACAAGGATGCATACCTAATTTTACGGTTGAGGGAAATGATTCAACCAGACACAAGATAGGGAGGAGGCAAAGTAGACTTATTCCTCCAAAAACATATGCGCCATTGTAATTGGGCTCGTAGCGCCTTTAGGCCCACAAGGCCACCAACACCTATAGAAAGTTCCCACGTTATCTGTGAAAGGAATTAGTAGGATTCACCTCAATTCACGCTGTTTTTCACCCTTTCAATAGACAATAGGCGGCAAAAACTCGTCGAAAATTTTGCTTCGGCCGAAAATTTTACCGCGGGCGCCAAAAGCAACCAGCGGTAAAACTCAACCAATACAAAGGGTGTGTTTGAGGAGAGGGAATTGAGAAGATTGGGAAGATACGCAAAACGAGGTGAGCTATTAGCTCATGATTAATTGAGTATTAACTATTTTAAATTTCAAAAATAAATTAATATGATTTTTTAAAGCAACTTTCCTATAGAAAATTTTTACAAAAAACACAAGTTTGGAAAACATACATAAGAAAAACGAATCAAACAAACTCACCCTCTCACCCTCTCGAACGCTGCTAAGCGTACAAACACTATCGGTCGCGGAGCCGAGCGGGAACCCCCCAATCCCCCATCCCTCTCGCGAGAAGCGCGCGGCAATTTTCCGAATAGACCAAGTCCACAGCCCTTTCTCCCACTGACACCATGGCCCCACATCGGACGTGACGCGAGAGAGGCTCACGTGCACCGCGTCCACCCACCATCGAATCGTAAAATCCACAACCCCCCCCCGGCGAAAATTCATTCTTCGGTTCCCACCCTTTTCAAAACCGAAGCGAGAGAGGCCTCCCCCGCCCCACATACGCCTCACTGACACGTGGGCCCACCCGGTGTGGGGCCCACGCGTCGGTGAGACCGGGTGTGGTTTTTTGGCGGAGCGGGTGGTTCGGCTTCAAATACCCAACCCCCTCCTCTTCCCTCGGTTCCTTCCATCGCACACCAAAATCTCTCCTCTCCTCTCCAACTCGCCCGCTGCTTCGTCTTCTGGAAGGTTCGAGAAAACCTAGGGCACGCAGCGGATGGCCGCGGCGGTGGAGGCGGAGGGGCGCGGGGGCGAGCCTGTGACGCCGGGGACGCCGGCGCCGGACCTTAGCCAGGCGACGGACGACCGGCGGCTGCTGCGGTCGCGGTACCTCGCCGTGAAGAGCCGCATCAGCGGTAAGGGGGTGGGGGTGGGGGTGGGGTGGGTGTGGTGTTTCTGTGTCGGCGATCGCGTCGGTTTTGGATGGGGTTCGTTCTCGGCTTGGAGGGAATTGTGTTTCGGATGGCATTTTGATTTTGGAGTTCGGTGTTGGGGATTTTATTTTTGTGTTTGTGCGTGCAGATGACAAGGATGACATGGCGAGGGCGGATTCGGTGAAGTTCCGTGCAGTCTTCACGCAGGTGGAGGATCTCCACAGGCTTGGTATGAATGATCACTCACTCGCGCACCCAAGAAGTTTGGAGGTTTCAGTTTTTCTTTAGTCGGTAAATCTGGTGTGATTGGACGGCGTGTAATCTAGTTAGGATGGCGCAAACGAGTTTGAATTTCAATGTTGTTCGTGCAATTTGTTTTCCACACTTTTTGTTAAGAAAGCATTCGGCTAAAATTTGAAAATGTATTACTAGATACAAAGGAAACTTGCTCTTTGGTAATATTAATGTTCAGTTATAGTGAACGAAAACTGTGTCCATTTTTTCGCATTTTTTTTGAAATGTACTGATTACTGATGCTATTGGCAAAATCGCAAACTGATCGATGGTGTCTCTCGTGCTGCAGTTCAGAGGCCTAGGGAGCAGATCGCCGATGCGGAAGCCTTGCTTGGCATCGCCACCAGTCTGGTGGCATCAGTAAGGACGCATTCAGCTCTGGGGATCACGCCCTCTGATTTCGTTTCCGGAATGCTGAAGAAGTTTGGAGAGAAGAGGAGGGATGATGATGAGGCTGCCTCGTTGCGCTGGCTCGATGTAGGCCTCTACACTTCTCGGATTTTCATGGCCGTGCCTGGATGCTCCACAATGTAAATGCAGATCAACTGCTTTTTTTAGCTTCTCGTATGTTTGCTGATTTAGAGTTGCATTGCTGAAGACCTGAAGTAGTCTGATTTCGTGATTATTATAATCTTATCATGATAGGGTTGGTCCAATGAATACAGAAGTGTTGCCACGGAGGGTTCGTGTGTGTAGAAAGAGGACGGCTAAGCCTCGTGGAAGTGAATGCCCTGAACAGGTTGCCATATCTTGCTCATACTTTACTGAACAGAGTTGTGCTTGATACATCATATTTATACTAACAGCAGTTACTACATACTAAATAATGTTCCTCAATACTTTTGCTATATGCTTGCATGTAATGTGTCAGTAGGACTAGTAAATTGCCTTATTATAGAACTCTTGTACGATGATTTGCACAATGGACGCGCAATTTTTTTGTAATCTGCATTTTCTTGTTGTAAGATCAATTTTGATTTGCAATTAGATGATTTTCGGTTCTAGGAATGACTTCACATGAAGGCAATTAGCTTGTCAACTTCTAGCAATGTGTTGATTTGTTCCCCCCTTAATGTGCAGCTCCCAGATTCATCAAATGCAGCAAAGACGGATACTGACAGGAACATGTCTGTCATATTTGATGTCCTGAGAAAGAAGAAAAATGCTAGGCTGGAAAACCTTGTTTTAAACAGGAAGTCTTTTGCCCAAACGGTGGAGAATATCTTTGCCTTGTCATTCCTAGTGAAAGATGGCAGGGTGGAAATCAGTGTCAATGATGAGGACCATCATCTTGTCTGTAAGGGCTTCCATTACTTGGTCACTCTTTTTGTTGCTGCAAATATGTTTTTTACATAGCGCAACTGATGTTATTATGTTTACTGCAGATCCAAGAAATGCCCCTGCTGCTAGTGCCATAACCTCAGGAAAAGTAGTATACAATCATTTTGTATTCAGATTCGATTTCAAGGATTGGAAGGTACCATCTCAACAATCATAACCTGGAATACTTAGCTAATTAACATTTGCTACTGTACATCCTGTTTTGCAGAGTATGTGCAATATCGATTACTTTTGTTGTATGACAAACTGACAAGTTTGCTAAAAAGTATTAAAAAAAACCTTTGTTAGATGATCAAACATGCTAAACTAGTACAGCGGTGATGTAAGCAAAATCTACAGTGGTAACTAGCCAACTATAATATACAACTTCAATTAATCTTCTTTATCCTTACTCCTTAGTGACTTTGAACTAGCATGTCTACTAGAAATGTAACCCAATCTGACATCTACGTTTGATATATCAGCAGCATAACTGTTAATACTTGTAACACAATCTATTCTAACCTTCCTGTTTCACGTTTGTTCCCAGCTCATGAAAGACATGGTCGTCGACGGCGAGGAGCTGATGCAGCACAGGCCTCCGGCTCCACAAGTCGGCACGCACGGCTCCAGCACCACCACCACCACCACCACCACCGGAGGAGCGAATGAAGGCCCTGAGACCGAGACGCCTGCAGCCCCTGCACACAGCACGGCGATCAGGAAGCTCTGCAGGAACCGAGGCCTGGTCATGCACGACATGAAGGAGGAGGCGGCCACCATGGAGGAGAAGAGGTCGGCCATGGACGCGCAGGTGTCTCAGCTGGCGTCGAAGCGCAGGCGCCTCTTCCAGGACGACGACGATGACGACGGCGACTTGGAGTAGAGGGCAGTGGCCATGGTGGTAGTGGTAGTGGTAGGAGGGGGGGGGGCGTGTAGAGGAGGAGGGAAAGCCTTTTATGTAGGTAGAGAAGCCAATCAGCTTAGCTTAGCATTGGGATGTCTTGTTAGGAAATGATGAAACGGCTTAGCGGCATTGCACGGCCCGTGTCAGTTTTTGGATCGTTGGGCGTGTGGCGCTGAATGTTTTAAGGTCTTTTGGTTATTTAGGCCAGTGTGTATGAACTGGACGACGCTATTTTACAGATAAATTGAAGTCAAGTTATAAAGGTAGTGTTTGGCAGTAGATATTTGTTTTTTTTATATAGGAATAGCGTTCTGATAAGTAGTGTTCTTGGTCTAGGTGTTGTTACATCTTGGCTCCGGAGGAGCGGAATCAGTGGTACCAAGTTGGAGTAGTACTTTACTCCATGGAAAACTGATTCATATCAGCTCTAAACCTGTACTGACTTGGTGCCACTCAAATTCTGGTTCATTATGAAATATAATGCCAATGGGCAAAACAAGATCAACAAACCGGTGGAAGCATCAGAAAGCACCCAAGTAAATGGAATCATTGTAGTTTTGCTAGGTTATATAGTGCATTCGAAGCATTACAAAATTTGACTGAAGCGCCGAGGGAAAAACTCCAAGGTAATTCTACAAATCAAAGACACCGAAATTCCCTGTTATCTATTTCCTCCCAGATTACATCCAGTTTCCTCCCATGACAAAATATCTCATGCTGCAGAAGCAGCAACAATGCACATATCATTTTCACCTTGTGTGCAATCGTTTTCATATTTGGAGCTCAGGTATGCTGGCCGTCTAGTCCAAGCCACGACACGCATGTCTCAAGCAGCAGCCGGCGGCTTGCGCAGCTCACTTTCACCATGGGCGAAATGACACCTGTCTCCAAACGTGCAGGAGCCTTTGTTGAAGTTCTCACACAGCTTGGTCTTGAAGTTGCTTCCAGGCCCCCCAGCATGCGACCCCCTGCCCGGGTTCTTGGCTGGAGGGGCATTACCACTGATGCGGACGATTAGCTCCGTGACCATAGCACTAGCATGTTTGATCTGGTCAAATGTACCCTCAAGCTCGATATTCTTGAGGTTGGGGTTGGACTCGTTATCCCGGATGGCTAGCTTGGCCCCAGTCATCCGGGATATATGCTTTGTGTTGGTTCCACCCTTCCCAATGATACCGCCAGCCAGGGATGCATCAACACTGATCTTTGCTGTGGCTGAGGCACCAAAGGTTGAGGGAGGAACGATGTCCGGGCCAGGCATTGGTGGAGCCTCAAACGGCATTGATCCCATTGGATGTGGCATTGAGTTGTCCAGCAGCATCGGCTTTCCAAGCTCCCTCTCTCCATGAGCAAAATGACACTTGCTACCCCATTTACATCCTTCTGCAGTGTTGTACTTGTTACACATGCGAGTTTTCACGCTGGATGTAGGTGGCCCATTAGGAGCACCAGGTCCTAAAGGCATTCTTCCAGGAGGAGCTGCAACAGCTGTCCCACCATGGCTGGTCATCTTTGCAGCAGCCTGGTAGCCACCAGGGAAGTTATGGAGAAAATGACAACTTGAACCAAAAGGACAGCCAGAAGTACTGCACAAAGAAAACATCATTTAAGGAATAAAATTACAGCGACCAAATGTGTACGAAAGGAAAATTACAGTGACCCAATATGGATGAAACAAGTAATGTTATATTTAGCTGAAGATGGAACCTTATTAGGTCACTGCTAACAGATACGAGTAAACAACACAAAATAGATGAAACCACCTCTCTCTTTTGATTCATATAAATGACATTAAACATTAATAATTGACGTACAAAACACATCTATAATCATTATGTGGATATCTTATCTGTAAAATTATTTTCACAGGTTAAGTAAATCTACAAAGTTATTTTCAATGGGATCAATCTAGATTTACCAGTGGTCAAAGCTTGATGGTGAATACTATCTAATTATTAAGAAGCACTCGTAGCATCACATGAAACTGAACATATTAATACAGAAGCAAACATATACTGTGGTAAACAGTAAATATAGCATACATATTAATAAAGGCATACAGCAACACAGAATAATTTGCCTATCAGTGTGTCACCATTTTTTTTAAAAAAAATAATAGAATTTTAGTTTGTCAAAGAAGTTATTTCCCTATTGTCTTATAGCTACTTTACTTATATGAACATGACAACACATTATCACTTTACTGCATGATTCATTCACAATTGTATATAATAAGAACATCTTTTGCAACTCAGGAGTGTAGCAGAAGGAGTAGCTTATATCGATGTGATAACTAAAACACATGATCAATCAATAGTAGAATATAAAAAGAAAAACATCTCTCCAAGTTCAAATTCAAGGTAAACACACTGTGCGTGTACTGAAAATAAGCTGCTACACTGAATGTTATCATTTAGTAAGTAGTATAATTCCATAATGGCAAGTCAATTGCAATCCCATATGGAACGTTTAATACTATTATCTTGATTGCTGCAGGTGATATGGTACCACAGTGTAACAGATAGATTTGATTGTTCATCAGAAATGGAGTTTTACATATAGCTGCTATGTTATCCATTATACACAATGGAAACCTGTAGAAAAATCTTACTTAACCCATTTGTTACCCCTCAACAACAATTTCTTAGCAAAATAACAAATTATAATTATTTAAGGCAAAACCACAGCAAAGTGCAGAATAGCATGTGTAAACAGGTGATAGTTCATTTTAAGTTAGATTAGAACCTGAAAAATTTGGTGCATGGCTTCAATTTGCTTCCTACACCCACTTGAGACGACTCCGATGCTGTTACACCAAATTTATTATTTCCGCCGGTTAATAGCGTTGATTTTTACTAAAACATGGCATGTATATAAACAACATGTACACATTAATCATTTCAAAATCCACTGAGCATTACCTTCTCAGAAAGAAAAAAAAAAGGTAAATGGTACAATACAATAATGTCCAGTATCCAGAGCTTAATGAGTTTCACTTTCAAATTAACGCCTTGAGAAATCGGACATCTCTTTCAACTCACTCAAGAAAATTCGACGAGCAGCTAGATCCGTTCACATATTTAGCAGGTCCACTAGGTCACCAATCGCGTTTCTAGATCTCTTTGCGAAATATTGCCAAAAATAAATTTTAAAAAAATAGTGGCGAGCCTTCCGTCATCATCTCCAAACGAACAAAACAAGAAAAAAAAACATGAAAGGCTTAAGGCGGCCACAAGCTCCCCAATCCCAACACCCCCCAAATCTTCGTCTCCCGTCTTCACCAATCACCACCCAGCTCAAAACCAAGCCGGAGCGCCGCCGAGAATCCGAGCCCCCCAACAAGGTAGCCGGCTGGAGAAACCCTAGGAACCAGCCATCCTTCCAATGGAAGAGCCAGCAACCAAGAAAAGGGAAAAAAAACAAGAAGAAGAAGGAAACCACGAAGAGGCTCACCTCTCGCGCGCTTGGCGGCGCCGTTGGTGCCCTCCGGGGCGGCCCGCTTGCCTCCTCCGGCTTCCATGGCGTCGACGGCGAGGGCGGTGGGCGGGCAAAACCCTAGATAGGGTTTGCTCCCTCCCTCTCTCTCTCTCTCTCGCGGCGGGTGGAGTCGAGCCGAACAGGAGACGAGACGCGAGGCGACGAGCGAACCGGAGGGCGAGTGGTGGTGGGTTAGGTTAAATCGGGTCGGGACGGTACGAGGAGCCGTTGGGACCGCCTCGACATTCGTGCTCGACCCAGCCTTTCCCATCTTTTGGGTGTTCTCTTGCTCTGAGTGACAGGGTAACTTCTTTAAAAAAAAAAGGAAAACGATTTCGAACTTCTAGAGAGGTAACAATTTCTACAGTATACTTAACTGAACTGAGGGAGGATGCACAATTGATAAACATAGAATTACTATAGATAAAATAATCTTTGGAACCGTGTGCCTGCCCCTTGCTCACCGTAGCTCCGCCCCTAGTTGCTGCTTCTACTAAAGAAACAGGAGACAAAGCGAAGAATAAATCAAGGTGAATCAATGGCTATACAAAATGAGCGGTGTATAGATCAACTCTGTGATTAGTAGCAAAGGTGATAATTTTAGGCAAAGTTCCGGTTTATTTAATCAGAGTTAATAAATCTCTCCAGCAAGAAGGCATCACTGTTTGATTTTCTCAGAGGAAAAACATGGGCTTTGTCCATATATGGCTGCTCACATACCAACTCCCAATTTCCAAGCAAACCAAATACAATAAAAATAGCAATAAAAAGGCACATAGAAAGCAACTTAAAGCCAAAAACTAAATAGTATTATCTTGTCGGGAGCGGATTTGGGGCTAGGGAGAGCTGACGTGGAAGATAGCGGAGGAGAGCAGCACATCAAGACGATTTGTCGAAAGGGGATCACAGAGACCACGGACCAAGGGGAGCATAGATGGGTGCCAGCTAAGTCAAGACGACCTGCTACCTTAACAAAAAACAATAAATTGACGAACGAATCTCGTCGGCGACAAGCACCAAGAAAAATTGTTAAAACTTGTTGTGTCAAGCTTGATTCCTAGGCGGAGGCAACCGCACATCCAGAGGCAGCATCTTTGTAAGACGCATGGGGTAACTTAGAATTGGCAAACAAAGATACAGGTAGCATGCATAGAGGCAGAGCTACCCAGGTATTTCCATGGTCGTTGGTTGTCTCACACACGAAATGTAATGCCCAAGGCTCAAAAACGATATTGGGCCAACTCATCTAGTTGGACCACACCTACCGAGATATCTTCATGGTCGTTGGTTGTCTCATAAGCCAAATGTAATACACAGGACCCGAAAACATTATCGGGCCTAACTCATCTACTTGGACCACACCTACACTCAACGCACTGCACTTCCATTCTCGCTTCGCGCAAAAAGTCCAAACTCTCTTGGCTAGCCTCAAATCCTTATAAGCAAGTGATTTTCTCTGTTGTTCGGCAGCTAAAGTGCCACGAACTACAACGCAGCACTAGGTTGCTATTTGCTGCTTTGCTCTTTCTTTTATATTTTCCTCTCCAATTATTTTTGCGAGGCATCATACCTAAGAAACTGAAGAAAGGGAAAAGTAGGGAGATAAATCATAGCATACGCTGAAAAAGAGGGGTTGTTGTTAAGCGCTAATTTGCTGAGCAGTAGGCTAGCTATACCCACACACGATCCTAGTGCACCAAGAACCTATTGTTTTTCATCCATCTACCATATAACCATACAATGGAACATGTCCACATAACCATATGAATCCCAAGAAGATATGTTTGAAACCCTTGTAACGGTGGTCTCGGTGCACGCCGGACCAAAAGGATAAGAAGCGCTTAACCACAGGGTCCACCATAGACCATGCGCACCAAGGTGTTGCGGGGAAGAAATCTCTCTCATTTGGAGGGGGAAAATCTCTCTTGGCTGCAACATCCGGCCGATTTTCACAGGCTGTTATGCACCAACCGTGTACAACATGCCTTCCCACGTAGCAACAGACCCACTCATCAAACGGTGGAGATGGCAAAACGCTGTGTAGATGCAGAGGAGGCACAATTACGTCCGAGGAGCAGCGTGCAGTGAAAACGACATTGGCCCACAGCACACAGACACCTGGTAAAAAAGAGGCAACGTAAATACTTGCGGGAACGAACACGCCAGGTATCGCATGAATCACCTACTATTTGCACCGTACAGAACAAGGAAAGGATGCACAACTGCCAAAATGAAAAATGTTCCCTTCAGAAAATACCAAGTAACAATGGTCGGAGCATATGAGACGAGAACGGAATGCCATCATCCATGTTGCCTATCAATCAACAATCCTAACACAGGTTCTGTGCTAATACATCAACTTGAGACTTCTGTGCGTCTACGGGGAAAATCTGAATAATTCCTCATTCACCTTCCAAGGATGATTACATGGGACAACTCACAGGAGAAAGAAATCTAGAATCGACTGGGATTGATGCCCGCTGTTCAGAAGAAATCCTGTGTTGCCACACCACAATCTATCACAGGTTCTAACAAAGGAGAGATTATATATGAAGTATATATCCCCTTGTTCCGCATGTAGAGAGAGCACCAATGTTAGCTGGATGATACTATTGAGTAACGTGACCACCTTCCATCACTGGTCCTATGGAAGACCCGAGGCTTGTATTTCGGAAATGTGTCTTGCCAATATGGATTTTCAATCAAGTATCTCCATATCCTACATCAAGATGGTATAAAGAAAAGCTTAAACCACATCAGTCTCTCATCTGTCAGGATGACAGGTTTAATTTGTAGAAAAATATGGGCACAAACCTTCTCTCATTTTCCACAAAATGTGGTGGCTCGGCAGCTGGAGAGGTGGAGCACTGCAACAAGACCTCAGAGTCCGATAGCTGGTTAAGTGATGATGCCATTTCAGCCCAATCCGGCATCCTATACGAGCAGAACAAGATATCGATAGAGCATATAGGATCATCAATTAAGTGATTACCCAGAAAAGTATGCATGTGCTAGTATTTTGAATTGTAATAGTGTGTGTTCCTATGCACATGTGATGTATCACAATATTTCTGAGTTACTATTGCATGGTTGACGGACTTTAAAAAAAAAACTATTGCATGATTGGGAGGTACCATTTTTTAACACAGCTGAAAGGAAGGAATTTTCTTGTAGTCCTGTACAGGGTTTGATTCGCTAATGAACAGAAAATATGACACATGATTACCGTTATTTTAAGCAATAATTAGAGCTATCAAAATTCCCATTATAACAACAAATTGATCACATATTTTCAGTTACCCAAACTACTGCGGGTAAAGTGATGGTGTTAAGAATTTGAGGGAGTTGATTTCTAGACTTTCAGAAGAATTGAGGTTGTGGAATAAACTCTTTCCTTCGTAAATTGGATGGAAATGTTTTAAGATACACACCAGCAGGCAGGTGCAATTTCAAAAGCATCACTGTGAGTATCATAAGTCTCTAGTAGCCTTCCTTGCCAATTTGGATCATAAGAAGAAACGCTCACACGAATTCTCCTAACTATTTCATCTGGACACCTTGAATTCATTTCAAAGCTTGCTGGATTAACAGCCCCAGATGAGGTCTCCACCTGAAGACAATATGTGGGTATGTATGTGAGAAATATTTTCAAATAAATAGTGTAAAAGCAGTTAAATGTATGAATAATTTCACTCTGCACCTGATCCATGCAATGTTGCACAAGAGTTTCAGTATTAAAACATTATGCACATATAATAAGTAATAGCATATCAGTTTGGATTAACATTTAAGGTTCGTTCCTTGTGGACAAAGACATTTTTTTTATGCTCTTCTTTTCTTATGGATGTGGAGTCAACTGGAAGCAAAACTACGAATAAATGCTGTAGTAGATGCAGAGAAAACACTAACCACAAATCCACCGATTATTGGCCGTGTATTCCCGTATGAATCAGTTGTGGTATTGCTCCCAAGGACACAAAATGTACGAAGATGGAATTGCTGCCGGGACTTATACAACACCTCAAGTATCCTGCAACATAGTGGATAGGAATACCCTTCCTGTTTGATGTGCTTCCTTCCAGCAGAATGTACAACCTGCGGTGCAAAATATAGTAAATTACATGATCCTATAGGTATCATGCTAACAAAAATTAAAGGAAGTTTAACCACACAGTACGCTCTGAAATTCAACCTTTGTAGAAACATCATCAAAGCCACCAATCAGGTGAACCTGTAGTCAAATGGTAGTAAGAATATCACCATTCACCAAGGGTGCGTATTCTATGTTTGGAGGGCAAAGGGGGTAAAGATACAAACATCAAACGGTGCATTGTCATCACCAAGTAATTCTAACATCTGTTTGAGCCCTCCCTCCACAATTTTTGGGAAGTCCATGTGGCTAATGGAGGTCCTGAAATTAGTTAAGAATACCAGAAAGAGGTATCATCAAGTGATGGAAAAGATAAATAAGAGTACTAAATTACACAAGAAACCAAAAGCCTTACAGGTTCAGCTTAAATGCTCACTTCCTTTTTCACTTACATTCCAGTCTTGTTGTTGCGAATTACTACACCCACGCATGTAGTCACCTCATCTGTGCCCACTAACTACAGATGCAAAAGAATGGATTAACATATAAAGTGCAATATACTGACATCGAATGGTCCAGGAATAATAATTTAACTTTTAGCAACAGACATGCAAAAGACCCAAGTGAAATAAGGAAAAAATTCCATCAAAATGTTCAAGGGACTGTAACAGCAACAGTCGATGAACAGACTCTAAGCCAAATGGAACTTTAATATGGATTGGAGTTATCACAAATCGGCATTTCCAGTCGAAGACAACTTATATCCTTATTCAGAACATTTTCAACTCAAAGATGTCAACAGTCCTTTTATGGTCACTAACAAAGTCAACTAATAAACACTTAAACAGCACAACGGACTTGGTAGTTCGTTAGCTACATAGAAATCGCATAAAGAAACTTCTGCTGGTAGCCTAGTACTAAGTTTACCACCTACAGCTACTGCCTACAATGTCCCCAAACAAACCTCCAAACATAAGGACCGCAACTTTAAGCTTCGGTTAGAATGCAGTAGTTTCAAGGTTTGTCGCAGGAATTTCACAGGAATCAGTTAATTTCGTACGAGAATCGGGAAAAATTCCCGCATTCCAGAAGGGCCTTATGCCCTTATCCTTCGTTCCCAGAAGGCCTCACCTTTGCTTCCAAGCTAAATCATGCGTAAACTACTGAGAGCTTCACTCCATGTCAAATGCCCAGCATTTATATTGAAAGCAACCCATGATCCCCTCTAGTGAAACAAAATCCATATTGACAGCAAGCATTTCATGGCGCTACTGCTAAGCAACAACTAACTCAAACAATTCATCATCAAAACGCCGGAATTAATCGCTGAGTGCCCCCCCCCCCCATCTCTACGACACTACCCAATCAAACCGCGAGGCCTGAACCTACTACAGCGAGGTGAAATCCCGGGCATCACGCACGCACCTCGACGCGCGCCGGATCAACCGTGGCGAACTCCCGCTGGAACACGTACACGTGCCTCGGCGCCGCCGCCGCCGCGGCGTCCGCATCATCCTCCTCTGGCCCCGACGAGATCCGCCTCTCCGGCTCCGCCCTGAGCCTCTCCGATGCGGCGCGGAGCCCGGGGTTCCCCATGAGCGCCGCCACCAGCTCCCTCCCGCCGCTCCCCTGCAAGAATCGGGAGGGTGAGAGACGGGGTGGGAAGAAATCCCTCCAACAACCAAGTAGGCGCACCCCGCGGGAGGAGCCGAAGGTGGGGGAGGCGGAGGCGGAGACGGGCTCGCCGTCGACGAGGAGCATCGCCGATGTCGCGTCGCCGGAGTCGCCGCCGCGTCGCGGAAGGGAAGTGGTTTGCTTAATCGATTTGATTAAGCGGCCTAATCACTTCGTTTCGTTCCATCCTCGAGGAGGATTTGGATCCTGTAAAGTCAGAGAGTGCTGTGACTTTGTGGAGTAATTTTAGGCCTTGTTTATTTCCAAAAACTTTTCTTAAAAACATCACATCGAATATTTGATACATGTATAAAGTATTAAATATGAATAAAAAACTAATTATATAGTTTGTAGGTAAATCGCGAGACGAATCTTTTAAACCTAATTAATCCGTCATTAGGCTAATCACGAATTAATTAGGCTCAAAAGATTGTCACGTGGTTTCCAGGCGAGTTATGAAATTAGCTTTTCATTCATGTCCGAAAATCTCTTTCGATATCCGGCCAAATGTCCAATGTAACAACTAAAAATTTTTATTTTACCAACTGAATAGGCCCTTATCTGTCCAATTCAAGCAAATGAACGAAATTGATAACTACATTAAATCATACAGTAGTTTTCAACTCCCGGCCCTTTCCCTTGCCCTCGCTGTAGTTCTTCTTCTTTAAGGCTTGTTCGGTTGGGCCAGGAACGGCCGCGATCGGGGCCCAATCTCTGTGGATCACCTTGGCGAGGAAACAATCCCGGCCATACGAAATTGTGCGTTCGGTTAAGGAAAAAGTACACCGAAGGTCCCTCAACTTGTCATCGAGTTACAAAATCGTCCCCCAACCGCAAACCAGATACCGTGCGTCCCTCAACTAACAAAACCGTTCGCTTTAGGTCCTTCGGTGGTTTTGACCCTGGTTTTGTCCGACGTGGCGGCCGAGTCAGCATGGGACCCACGTGGGCCCCACATATCAGCGTGGCCACGTCAGCCTCCTCTCTCTTTTCCCCTCCTCTCCCTTCCTTGTCTCTCTCTCACTCTCTTCTCAAGGTCAGCAGTGCGAGGCACCAACGTGGCAACGGTGATGGCGGTGACGCTGCCCGGGGGGGAGGAGCGGAGCGCCGGCGGCGAGGGGAGGAGCTGCGGGTGCCACATCGATGCATCGACACGAGCACCTCATCTCCTTTGCGCTGGTGCTGCCCATCTCCTTTGCGTTGTTCCGCTACCGCCCGCCTCCGCCGCCACAGAAGACATCGTCCGCTTCTACGGCGAGATGGCCTCCAGCCACCGTGTCCATCCGGATGTCTATGCCACGGGGATGTCGCTGGAGGCAGCGAAGGCGAGAATGGCCGTCGGTGCAAGGGCAGGGCGAGAAAGGACGAACTCGAGGAGGATGGAGAAGGCAGCGAAGCGGCGCCGCCCGTGCCGCTGCTTTCCCCACTGCCGGCGCCCGCTCGCACGCCGCCTGCACGCAGCTCCTCCCCTGCAGCTTGCGCCCACCAGCCGTCCCCCGTGCAGCTACTTCCCCCGCCGCTGACGCCCGCCCACGCGCTGTTCCACCACTCGCTTGCACCCGCCGACCGTGGAGATGGAAGAGAGGTGAGAGGAAGAATATGCTGAAACGTGGGGCCCACGTGGGTCCCACGCAGAGTTAGCTACCACATCGGACAAAAATAGAGTCAAAAACCGCTAAGGGATCTAATTTGCTCTGGTTATGTAAGTTGGAGGATGTGTTGTATCCGGTTTTGTGGTTTTTTTTAACTCAATGACAAGTTGAGAGACATTCGATGTACTTTTTCCTTCGGTTAAGCTCTAGTGTGGATTTTAGCCTGGCCCACCACGAGGTTTCCCTTTCTCTAGGCCCGGGAAAGAATCTACTCCTCGTAGGGCGTGGAAAATTTCTACAACAGACCGTTTGGTTGCATGGAGTTTTTAAGAGGGATTGAGAGTTTAGAGGGATGAGGCTATTAATTGTTTTGTTTGGTTGAGAGATATGTTAATTTTGGTGGGATGGTGATGGGGAATTGAGAAAGGAACTCCCTCTTTTTTAATACCTGGGCGCATTTTAGTGGGATGGTGATGGGGAATTATGGAAGGAACTCCCTCCTTTTCAATACCTGGCAGGGGAAGGTAATTGGGAGGGAATTCCCCTTTACTTTGTCTAAGCAAATATCAGCTATCCGTTTTTATTAATGATCTAATCTCCAACTAAACTCCCTAACAATTTCCATCACCCCTACCAAACAAACAAGATATTGATATTGAGATTAAAAATTAAATCCCCATTTTAATCCCATCATTAATTCCCTCGCGTAAAATCCAGTCCCCTCCCTGGAGTTTCCAAACAAGCCGCGAGAGGAGGAGGCGGCGCAACGAAGACGCGACGGCGACGGCACGGCTCTCTCCTCCGGCCGCCACCTTCTCTCCGGTGAGCACGCTGCCTTTCCCCCTCTCCCCTCCTCTTCCAAATCTAGGGTTAGGTTTCCTTCTCTTCTCCCTTTCCCGTCGTCGCCGCCATCTCGCTCCCGGTCGTAGCGCATCCACTCCGCCGCCACCGCCGCCGCCGCCGCCCATCGCCCTCACTAACGGCGCCACCGCCGTGACGCCCTCGGAGAAGAAGAAGAAGTGCGCCGAGCTGACGAAGTGCTGCAGGGCGTGCCGGCCCTACTACGTCGCCGTCGACGACCACCCCGGTTACTCCTGCACCATCGTCTGATCGCGAGCCACAGATCTAACCCGCTGCTACATTCTCTGGCCTTCTAGGCTCTGCAGATTCGCGTGTAAATCGTGTTCATCGGTTTCAAAGATTCAGCCTTGATGCTATTCACACTCCTCTCTTCTCTGAATCTTAAATCTTTTCCTACTTATTGCGTCGTTTATGCTGGGCAGTCGTGGAAATGCAATTGTGAAGACTGTGCCTTTGCAAGAAACGCCAAGGCCATCCTATTCAGATTTCAGTGGTTAAATCCAGCAACAAGTTTATAAGTTTTTCTTTGTTTGCTCGTGCTATCGAACAAGTTCAAGAATTGCTGCAGTCCGCTGCTTTGCAGCTTTCGTATTGAGTTAATAATCAACACCTGGTTTCAAAGAGAAAAAAAATCAATCGATATCATTTTTTCCTGGAGTTGCACATCTGGCGCTTGCAGCATTTTTTTAAGTTCTAGCTTGTGCTTATTCAGTATGTTAAAAAAATGCCAAACAATTATGGCAACCAGAATTTTTCAAGATCATTCGTTCAATGTGGTTCGCTGATAGTCTGATACACACTTTGTTTTAGGTACCATCCACATAAACCTATAACAGTTGGAATTGGCACAGTATAATAGTGTTGTAACTATATCTTAATTGCTTCTCTTGTGCAAACTAGTTCCTTTTCTCATATTAGGTTTTCCCTCATTTTTACCCCCTGTTATATTTTAACTGAATCAGCACTACAACTTTCTTTTTTGTAACAAAAAGATATAGTGACCAAGAAGGTAACTATGAAACTATACCATTTCTTGCTGCTTGAAGATATATAACTGCTTGCTGTTCTTTCACATGAGAATACCATTTCTTGGATATAGTAATTTTGTATGCTTAATTTGAATTGTTACTAATACTAGTATCTGTTCACCCTAGGATGTTACTTTATTTCGCATACCATGCATATAATATGTGAACAAATCTTATACATTGTTTTTTTATTCTTTGGAATAATGCTCTCTACCCTTGAACTGGAATCGGAAGACATTGGATTAGAGCTTAGGATCATGCTCTGATAGAAACCACTCAAAATGCTCTCCCTTTGCTTATTGACTTTCTGAAGTTCAAACTCTTGCTATACCCTTGTGTGTATTTTTATCGTGCCGCATTTGTGCATGGTGACTAATCATCTGATAGCTTCATCTCTGAATCCTAGCAGTCTGCCTCAGATTCAATGCTCAGATTCTCAAGTAAAAGATATTTTTGTCTTTATCTAAGCTTATTTTTTGGACTATCTCATTCAGTTACAATAATGAAATACTCTATATCAGATACATGTTTGTATTCCGACGGTACAAGCTGATGTTATCAGCCTGGTTTATCATCTTTTTAAAATGTCAACAAATCTGTGGTCGTGTGATCTGTATGCATGGTACTTTGTCCTTTGAAAGACTATGGGATAACCGTGTATCGCTATGTCAGTTTGGCTTGGGCACATGATTACCAATGGGAATTTTCTGAACAATTTCATCCTCATTTGTATTATTTTCCCTGTTGAGCTGAGCTTGATCTGAAGCTACTCGCCTGTTTCTAATTCTTTTTAGGATGCAGTTTGAATTACGGAACTTGCAGGGTCTGGTATTCTAAGAAAAACTGAATTACCAATTGCTGCCGGAAGGTATTTCTGATTTTGAATTAACATTTGGCAGAAACTTCTGAATTTCAACTGATTTTGAATGAAAATTTGGTAGAAAATTATGCCGGACTTGGAAACAATCACAGCAGGTACTATTTATTTAGCCAGTCACTAGATTGGGCCCGTAATTGTGGGATTGTAGCCAAGCTGTTTATTCCCAGTCAAAATGAACATGGGGATTTAGGAGAGGGATTAGGAACATGCAAGGGATTCAAACCCCCAAAGGGATTGAGTGATATGGGAGGGATTCACTCAATCCCTCCCTGGATAGGTTCCCCTTGGGGATTGGAACCCAAGGAACCGAATAAGGCCTTAGGGAGGTGCCTGGTTCTCCCATCAATCGAGGAGGGCAAGTTGGATGAACGAGACAGTACCGAGTCCTCTTCTGTTAAAGTGATATTGTTTTCAAACATCCATATTTATAGCTATATATAAAAAAATAAATTTTCTAATTTTTGTTAGTGTTGAATTGAAGTCATCACTAAATAGTTAAATTCTACAAATTGAAAGAAAAATCCGAATAAATGTTATCGTGACCGTTTTCATTCTCATGATGTCATGCATAGATATTTGGATCACACATTTTCTTCCCTTGCAATGCACATGCACTTTGCTAGTATGTTGTAAAAGTTAAAACATGTCATATTGGTTTTGATAAATTTAATTAGTTTTTATGTAAACTTGAGCATACTTATTCACATTATTTTTTTTAATTCTTCTTATTGTAAACAATATTTTATAAGATCCTAAGGATCGTGGAGTCGGGATACTATCATATTTCGTAGGATTCTGTGAAAATAAATAGTAAAATCAACATACTATGAAAATTTGGATACTATAAATCGAATCGGTATCATTTCGGTTTGTGAGTTCGTAGTACCATAAGATACTATAAGAGCAAGTTTAATAGTATAATCAACTACTAGCTCCAAATCATCTATAGTCAATTTAATAGCCAATTGTACCTATAAACATACACTACACTTTTATAATTCCTGGTCTCACATGTCATACACATGTTACATCTTGGAGTCCGTGCTGCAGCTAGCTACAAATCTATAGCCCACTGCTCTTCTCTCTTCTTTTATCTTCTTAAAATATGTTTATAGCTAGCTTATAGTCTACTATTCTACCTGCTCTAACTCACGGATCGGGATTCGGTATCGTTTCGGTTTTGTCTACATATTAGGACAACTTCAGATTTCGGCCCGGGTCATCTGGCCCAACCACGCACCACTGCCACTGCGGCAGCAACATCTCCCTTCGTATTCTCTCCTCTCTCGGCGGCGGAAGGTTTGGTGGGAGATGGCGCCACCGGGATCGCGGCGGTGGGCGTGCGTGCGGGTGATGACCGGGACCATCCTCGGCGGCGCGCTCGGCTTCTACGTCATGCACCGCCTCGAGACCTCCCACAAGGTACGCTCGCTGCCCCTGCCCCTGCCCCCCGTCGCTTTCCTCCCCGCGCGCGTTTCTCTCCCGGGGGGAAGCTCACCTCGCTACTGCTTTTTTTGGTGCTATGTGCAGGCGAAGATGGAGGAGAGGCTGCGCAAGTACGAGGCGCACATGAGCATGGTCGCCAAGGGGAAGGAGGAGGCGCAGCAGCGGCTGCAGGACGAGGCGGCGCTGCAGCACAAGGACCAGGCCCGGCTCTTGCCGGACTCATGACCTTCATTTAGGTACTAATAATTTACTTACTTGATTTCTACTACAAGCTAGCTTTCCTTTGTGTTTAAGGTAAATGCTGCAATCCGATGCTCAAATTGATCCTTTTGATGGACCTTTTTATCATAGATTTTCCCTGGTCTAAGCCTCGTTTGATTGGGATCTGGTGTGGCAGGTTCAATTTTTTTTAGTGTGCTGATGCCGTGCTAGTTGCTATTCCCTTCGTTCCCATTCCACATTATAAGACATTTTAGCCTCTCCATCCCTCGTATAGATTCACTGACTTCCATATGAATATGGACACATATATGAAGCACATACATAGATCCATGCAAGCATCTATTCAAAACCCAAAAGGTCTTGTAATGTGAAACAAAGGAAATAGCTTCTAACTATCCTGGTAGTTCCTGGTAATACGCTAGACCTAGCATTACCAGAACAACAGACCTTTTTTTAGGTCATATCGTGAAGGGTGCAACATTTCACTAGGCATAGTAAAGCTAGAGTATCAGGATCATCAAGTTAGAAGGGAAGAAGTTCAAATTAACAAATTTAGGTATTGAGTACTGATATAATCAATAATGGAGTTGTTAAAAGGTGGGTGTCAGGCTTTCAGCTCCAAGATTTGGCCATAAACATTGAGTGGCAGTGCCAATTGTGTTGAGTTTCCCAAAATAATGTTGACTTTAGTTCTTTGGCATCTTCACAATATTTGAGATTGGAGTTATACAGCTGAAGAGCACAAAATATGATCAAACCCTGGAGATTGGATTAGAAGGCAATATGTCATATAAAGGTTAGATTGGGTTTAACAAATTAGAATGATGAATAGCTTTTTAGTCATGATGCTTGATTCAAATATGGGAGATTTTGTAGAGAATTGGATTAGGGGGCAATTGGCCACGCCTCAATGGGAGGGGGCGCCTTCTGTTATATAGGGCCGGCTGGCCTGCTGTACAAGGCAAGGATAATTCCCTTGATTTACATCTGCTATCTATAGTAGCTAATCCCTGATTTACATCTGCTATCTATAGCAGCTGGGATGTCCACAGACGGCATATTCTATTGCCTAACACCCGCCCGCAGTCGCAGCGGGAGGCTCCCGGACGCAAAGGCTGGATCGAAATTCTCGAAAGAGTGCTGTCGGAAGCCCTTTAGTCATGATGTCGGCGAACTGGTGAGAGGAGGGCACATGGAGAACCCGAATCTCACCAAGGGCCACCTTGTCGCGGACGAAGTGAATGTCGATCTCGATGTGCTTCGTTCGCTTGTGGTGGACGGGGTTGGTCGTCATGTAGACGGCGCTGACATTGTCGCAGAAGACAACGGTGGCGGAGGGCAGCTGGATGTGGAGCTCCTGGAGTAACTGTCGAAGCCAGCAGCACTCAGCCACAACGTGAGCCACAGCCCGATACTCTGCCTCGGCGCTGGAGCGGGACACCGTGGTCTGGCGCTTGGAAGACCAGGAAACCAGAGTGTCGCCGAGATAGACGCAGAAGCCAGAGGTGGATCGTCGAGAGTCTGGGCATCCTGCCCAGTCAGCATCAGAGTAGGCAGTCAGTTTGTCGACAGACCCGGTGCCAATGTGAAGACCCGAGGAGAGAGTCCCCTGGACGAAGCGTAGGATGCGCTTGATGAGCGCACGGTGAGGCTCGCGTGGGGCGTGCATGAAGAGGCACACTTGCTGAACAGCGTATGCCAGATCAGGACGAGTCAGCGTCAGGTACTGGAGAGCTCCCGCCAAGCTCCTGTACTCAGATGCATCCTTTTCTGACAGTAGATCCCCGTCGGTCGCGGATAGCTTGGCGTGAGTGTCAACAGGTGTCGATGTCGGATGACACTCAGCCATGCCCGCGCGCTGGAGAAGCTCGACGGCGTACTGTCGCTGGGAGAGGAAGAGACCATCGGAGGAGCGCGTGACAGCGATGCCGAGGAAGTGGTGAAGAGCGCCAAGGTCTGTCATGGCGAACTCGGAGCTCAGCCGAGTCATGATGCGCTGTAGGAGGGCCGAGGACGAGGCGGTGAGAACGATGTCGTCGACGTACAGCAGTAGGTAGGCGAGACTCGTCCCCTCTCGTAAAATGAAAAGGGACGTGTCGGAGGTGGAGGCGACGAAGCCGAGCTTCCGGACGAAGGTGGCGAAGCGCTGGTACCAGGCCCGCGGAGCCTGCTTCAGTCCATACAAGGACTTCTGCAGTCGGCAGACATGCTCTGGGGCGCCAGGGTCGATGAATCCTGGCGGCTGCTGGCAGTAGACGGTCTCCTCGAGGTGGCCGTGAAGAAAGGCGTTCTTCACGTCCAGCTGGTGAATGGGCCAGGCGCGGGACGCGGCGATGGTGAGTACAGACCGAATGGTGGCCGGTTTGACAACCGGGCTGAAGGTCTCGTCGTAGTCGACGCCCTCGCGCTGGGAGAAGCCGCGGACAACCCAGCGAGCCTTGTGGCGGGCGAGGGACCCATCGGCATGAAACTTGTGCCGGAAGATCCACTTCCCCGTCACGACGTTGGCTCCAGGGGGCCGCGGAACGAGCTGCCAGGTGTTGTTGTCGACGAGGGCCTGGTACTCATCCATCATCGCGGCACGCCAGTTGGCGTCGGCCAGGGCACTGCGGTAGTTCGTCATGGTGCGAGTGGCGCGCGGCGGTGGCGGCGGTGGCGGTGCCGGAACGGGGAATGCCGCCGGTGCTGGTGTGGGCGCCGTAGGTGGCGCCGGGGCGTCAGGAGCCACAGGGGCTGCTGGGGCAGTTGCCGGCTCGGACGTAGACGCCGTACGGGAGCGGCGGACGTAGACTCGTGGGAAGGGGACCACGCTGGGTCCAGGCGGGGGCACGGGACCGCGCCTGCCCGGTGTCGAAGAAGGCGATCCGTGTGAGGCCGCAGCATCTGAGGGCGGTTGCTCAACATCCGAGTGGGATGGAGCGACCACGGGCGTCGAGGATGGAAGCCCACCTGCAACAACAGTAGGACAAGGCACCGAAACCATATCGTCGTCGAGGAGGAAGTCTAGGGAAGCGGAGGAGGGTGAGGCGGCTAAGGTGGCTGAAAAGGGAAAGGTGGTTTCGTCAAATGTAACGTGGCGAGAGATGATGATGCGACGGGTCGATAGGTCAAGGCAGCGGTAACCTTTGTGCGAGGGGGGATATCCGAGGAAGACGCATGCCGTGGAGCGAGGGGCGAGCTTATGTTTGGAGGTTGCTTGCATGTTGGGGTAACAGAGGCACCCAAAAACACGCAGATGGCTATAGGTTGGCGGCTGGTTGTGCAGACGAGTGTAGGGAATTTCATGCTGAATGGAGGAGGATGGGTGCCTATTATGGAGGTAGCAGGCGGTCATGAGCCCCTCGGCCCAATATGTGGGTGGCAGGGAGGCATGGAGGAGCTTGGTACGAATGGAATTGTTGAGTGTGCGGATGATGCGTTCAGCCTTGCCATTTTGGGGTGATGTGTAGGGGCAGGAGAGGCGAAGGTGAGTACCTTGAGCAGCGAGGAATTTGATGGTGGCGGTGTTTACGAATTCAGTGCCGTTATTAGCCTGAAAACTTTTGACGGGGAGGCTGAATTGTGTTTTGGCAAAGGCAGCAAGCTCAACTAAGTGTTGGTGGGCATCAGATTTTTTTCGGAGCGGAAAAACCCAACAGTAGTGAGTGAATCCAAACAGACCAGGTAATAGGAAAAACCAGACAGACTATTGATGGGGGAAGTCCATACATCACAGTGAACAAGTTCAAAGGGTGCATGAGTTATGGAATGCGAAGAACTGAAGGGTAGACGCGTATGCTTGCCTATCTGACATGAGTGACATAGCGAGTGGTCTACTTTATGACAGGAAACAGCATGAAGTTTATTAAGACGCTCTAATGCGGCGGGGGCTGGATGACCGAGACGTTGATGCCACAGAGTCGACGAAGCAGCCAGGAGAGCATGAGGTGGGGCGCCAGGTGTGGAGGGAGGCATGGTGTATAGGTCCCCGTCGCAGTTACAGCGGAGAATCACGCGTCCCATCCTGAGATCCTTAACAGAAAAACCATGGGCGTCAAATTCAAAGGAACAACTATTGTCGCGAGTGAATTGGTGAACGGATAACAGGTTGCGGACTATGGATGGTGCGACAAGAATATTATTAAGAGCGAAATTTGTGGTAGGTGTAGGAAGGATGGAATGACCTCTAGACGTAACATGAATACTAGTGCCATTACCTACTGTTATTGAGGAGATGGAGGGGGGAAGGCGTTGGGTAAGCATACCATCCGAGGACGTCATGTGCGTAGAGGCGCCGGAGTCAACGACCTAGGGCGAGTTGCCCTGCAGTTGCATGTTCTGCAGGGCAGCGATGAGGCCGGCTGCATCCCAGGTGCTGGTGGAGGTGTTGGAGCCGCTGGAGGACGCCTGGAGTGGAGCAAAGGCGGTGTGGGCCTGCGGGGAAGGCCCGAGGATGCCCTGGTTGCGCCCAGCCGGGGCACCAGGACCTCCAGGGGCGCCAGAACCTCCCTGGCGGCGCTGTCCAGGGGGGGTGACGCGCTCTCCAGGGGCCACACGTTCGCCGGTCCAGGGATTGAAGCCCCAGGGAACGCGTTTGTTGGTGCCGGGGCTGCCGGAGTTGTTGGAGAAGCCGCCGGAGGAGTTTGGGAAGGGCTGTTGGGCGCCCTTTTTGGTGTTAGGGCGCCGGCCACCCTGCTGCTGCGGCTGCTGGAAACCGCCATTAGAGGAGGCAGCAGCCAGGAGGGCGGCGGTAGCACGCGTCTTCTCGTCGTTTTGCAGCCGCAGCTCCTTGAGGAGGAGCTGATGGCGTGCGGTGGCGAGGGTGAGGGGCTGCTGTCCGGCGATGTTGTCGGCGACGCCGGAGTAGACCTCGTTGAGTCCGCGCAGGAGGTTGAGGACGAGGTTGGGCTCAGATACGGGCTGCCCGACGTCGCGCAGTTCGTCGGCCTTCTCCTTCATGCGAACGCAGTAGGCGTCAATGGACAGGTCCCCCTGAGTCATCGAGTGAAACTCGTGATTCAGGAAGATGGCGCGAGGAGCTTTGTTTGCCTGGAACACCCCGCCGATGGCCGTCCAAAGAACGCTCGCTGTCTGCGTGTCATCGGTCATGGCAAGGTTGAGGACGGCGTCGGAGACGGTGCTGTACATCCATCCGCGGACGCAGAAGTCAGCCTGTTTCCAGGCCTCGTCGGTGGGGCGCGAGGTGGAGGCGGTGGCGAGATGATGCAGCAGCCCGAACTTCCCACACGTGGCCTGGAACGCTGTTGACCACTTGGTGAAGTTGGAGGGCTTCAACTCGAGGGTCATGGGGACGTGGAGCTTGATGTTGATGGTGGCGAAGGGGCAGATCACGGGGGCAGAATTGGCCCCAAGGGCGCCGCTAGTGGCAGAGAGGAGGTCCGATTGGGTTCCCATGGGGAGGGAGGGAGGAAGGGGGCGGCGCTGGAGGAGAGGATCTCGAGGTTAGATGGGGATCGGGACCCGGAGCTCTGATACCATGTAGAGAATTGGATTAGGGGGCAATTGGCCACGCCTCAATGGGAGGGGGCGCCTTCTGTTATATAGGGCCGGCTGGCCTGCTGTACAAGGCAAGGATAATTCCCTTGATTTACATCTGCTATCTATAGTAGCTAATCCCTGATTTACATCTGCTATCTATAGCAGCTGGGATATCCACAGACGGCATATTCTATTGCCTAACAGATTTAACTATCAAAGAGGATGCACCTCTACCCTTTATAATTTATATGACTAATAGCGGTATTTATTCTGTACATTAGGCATGTAAAACACTAACCATAATTTGTTTGAGATTGAAAAAATATCATATTATTACCTAACAAATTATACTGACTATCCACAACTTCCATGGTTTGACAAATGCTGTAAAATATTAGGTAATTAGTATTTACCAGCTGTAAATGTTATGGTTTCAACACGCACCAGTAGTGTAGGTGGAACCAAAAAGTTTGTGCTAACAAAGACTAAAATATACCTGCAACTGTGCACTTCACATTACTTTGGATGTCAAAGTTATCAGGAAAAGACTCGAGAAAGACAAAAGACCCGTGCGTTGAAGTTTTAGATAAGGGATTGTGGACATGTGGTACTAAAGTTCTGTTTCAGCATTTTTTTTCCCGATTTATCTCAGATTTTCTGTAATAGCCGATTCTCATGGCATCCTGAAGATAAACAGGAATTGTAATTTCTTAAGCTGAATTTGATCTGACTGTTATTATTCACGTATATTTGCAGAGTAATACCTAGCGGCTCAGAGCAGTCCCAGATCCTTTCTTCAGAAGTAGATGAGAAATAACAACCAGCATGTACTTGAGAAATAACAATCCGGCATTCCTGGCATTATTTGAACGCGGCAAGTGTTTTGTTTGAAGAATGTGAAAAGAAAAAAAAAGCTCCTTTTTTAGTCTTATTGTAACTGTAACAGCAAGTTGTAGGTTCAGATGAACATCTATAAGAAGGTGGGAAGTGACATTTGTAACTGTATGCTTAAGTGTCTGTTACCCTGCGACTAACCGTAAATTCGAAATATCACTAAAAAGGTTGCCAATGGTTTGTTTGCCTCTCCAGAACGCTACATTTCCTATTTCTACCATGCCCTCGGAAATATTTGCATCCACTTCACAGCCAGTAATTTTGTACATAATAGTAAATTTTATAAGCCTATGAATAATTTAGTTTTGTGTGATCAAGATCTTCATTTTTTTTTGACAAAAAACTCTCAATTTTGGTTTCGTTTCTATATGATCTTTCCATGTCCTATATAGATTGATATATAGACAACTCTTACAATAGGTTTTGCATTTGCATAATTAATAATATGACTCTATAGCGGTTCCATTTTGCTTGTAGCAATTATAAGGGCATTATAATTAGAGGACATATCCAGTGAAAATGAGCCAAGTGTTGAAAACTCGTGAAAATCATACCTAAAAGTTTCGTAAATTTATGAAAAAAATACTAGAGATAGGTGTAGATATAAAATACATTCTCACCAAATCTCAACTCCAAACTCAAGTTAGTTTATGAGAAAAAAAAAGACAAATTTCAGGTGAATTGTAACCCTGTTACTATAATTATACTACAAGGGCTAATTCACAAGTTCATATTGTAGCACCTTAATTACGTAGTACGATCTTAACTAACGGATTTTGATTAGATAAGCAGCTAGGATTGTTCATCCACTATATTAGGACCTCTATGGTGGAGAATCCCAATCCGTTTATAGGCATGCTTGAGATTAATTTAGAGAACCATGAAGGGTGCAAAACAAATTTGGCGGATTCCTACTCAACAATTATATAAACAATAGCGTGGCATTCACCACTAGGAGAAGATGCTACATATTTTTTTTGATAGTTTTGTGATAGCCCAAAAAAATCTATTATTGTAGAGTGTCTCTATGGTAATGTACTAATGTTTTGTTTTTAAAGACATGTAGTAATGTAGAGGATATGTATTCCCTACACATATCTAAGAGAAGCTACTAAACTACGTAATCGTTTAATGTCTCTTGGATTTGCAAGTGACGTCACTGATTTATCACATCTAAGAGCTAGTGCATAATAGAGATTTGCTCAACATATATGTTAATAAGAATGTTTTGGATCTCTTGATTGCAATTGTGTAATTGTCTTACCATTTTGTAGCCAAACCTTACCAAAGACATGGAGATTGCTATTTTGCCACTCCACAAAATAGTTTTCAACTATTTTCCATTTTGCCTCATGATCAGATAGTCCCATATGCCATGATCGTGAAGTGGTATCATAATCAAACGAACAATCTTCAATGTAGCAAATCATCAATCTTTGTTTTAAAATTGGCCACACTAAGCATTATATTATTGCTAACCTAATGTCCAATCATTTTGCCTTCTACTTCCTCCATTTCACGATGCAAATCATTCTAACATTTCCCACATTCATATTGATGTTAACGAATCTAGATAGATATATATGGCTAGATTTATTAACATCAATATTAATGTGGAAAATATTCATTGTGAAACGGATGGAGTAATTCACATCGATTTCAATGGTTTAAACAATGTTAGAATTCTCTTTTTTTTTTTCAAACAAAAACGAACTTTAGGAAAACGGCCGGTGACCAAATGTCGTCCTTCTCTTTCCCGCATCTCTCGACTCCATTACTCTTCTCTCTCCCCTCTTCTGTTTCCGATCCGATCTGCGGTGCGTCTCGCGCGCGGCCGCCGACGAGCCCCCGCGGCCCCGCCTCCTCCTCGCCGCGGCCGCCCGAGCCTCTCCCCGGCCCCTCGCGCGCACGGCCGGCCGGCGAGCAGGCTCGGAGAGAGAGGCGACGACCTCCCACTTCGAATCGAATCGAAGGTAATCCCCATTCTCTTCTTGTAGCGCTCGCTCGTACGCGCCACTTCGATTGATGAGCCGCCCTGCGTGCGTGGTGTATACAGATTGGGAATCCGTTCGGTTTGTTAGCTTGGGGGATTTGGATAATTGGATTGGGTTGTTGTTCTCGTTTTGAGGTTGATGCGGCGGTGGGGATATACGTTGAATCGGAGGCAACCTGTTTGATGAAATGTCACTGAAGCTCCCGATCCCGCAAGGGCTCTCCTTCCTGAGAAGCGTCGGGTGGTTCGAGGAGAGGAAGGCCGATGCCGCGGCGGCCAGGCAGCGGCACTCCCCGAGATTGAAGCTCCAGACGGACAGGGAGGTGTACAGACCCGGTGATTCGGTCACCGCGACTATAGAGATCTGCACCCCAGCTGGGTTGAAGGATGACGCGGCGTCGGCGGAGACCGGTGAGGATGCCCCCTCGCTCTTGGTGGATGGGCTCTCGTTCGAGATCAAAGGGATTGAGAAGTTGGATAGCCAGTGGTTCTCTGTTTCAAAGCCCTTACCAGGGTCTAAGCAAAGGAGAGGTACGCTCTTGCAATCGACTTCAAACATGATTGTAACCATCTTTGACTTCAGTGCCACTGTACCAGTGCTACTACGTTTCATCTATCATATGTACTTCACCTCTGTTGATTTTATATCCATTTGCCATTTTGCATTTGCTGTCAGTTTAATTAACCTACAAATTTGTTGTAGCTAGCATTTCTGTTTATGTTCTATTCATTGGATAGTAGTAGAACATTATGCATGGGGTTTTTAGAAACTAAGTTAAGAAATTGTAGTTTTGTCCCTTTCATAAGTTTGCGCCATGCTTGTTCAATTCTCTATGCATCCCTTTAAGTTTCTTTTATCATCTCTGGAAACAGTTAATTGCTGTTTTTATTTCTTCCTGATAATCTTCTTTTATATTGTCATTACATACGTAGGTGAACATTTGTTTCTGGATTGTTCGGCACCCTCGCTAATCCCTAAAGTTATAATTGCTTCGGGGCAAACAAAAACATGTAAGTCATCTCTTGTTTTGAAGGACTGATCTAGTTTAATGTCATAAAAAATGAATTGGTTTTCATTTGTGTGTTTCAGTTCAGTTTTTCCTAGTATTGCATGATAGTTCTGGAAATATGAATGATTAAAATTCTTCATTTTAGACATACCTCACAGTCTTGAACTAATTATGGTCTTGTTCGGTTAATCCCTCCCCCAAGGGGATTTGGAGGGGAATAATTCCAAACCTATTGAGGTGTGGAATTAATCCCCTTTAATCCCATCCAATCCATTCCTCATGTGGATTAACCGAACAAGCCCGTAAGAGACAGATATATGAAGTGACTAATATGCACTCTTGGCATAGTTAATACTCCCTTTGTCGATAAATATAGAGCCCACATTGATTTGAAGGTTCAAACTTTGTAACTTTTGACTAACAATTAGTCCAACAACACATATCTGTAGGTAGCGTACCAGGGATACCGTTAAGCTTCATGTTAAAAAATACTTTCACATTATGCTAATTTGGTAATTTTGCTGATGCATTCTAAAAGAAACTAACATTCAAAATTTAATGTTGGAGGCCATGCCAAATCATACCATGCCTTTTGTTAATGGAAGGAGTAGTGAATATTAAAAGCAGTATTCTCCTTAAGTTTTTCTAACCAGTCGTTCTAGTTCCTCTATGAACCTGCTATATTCTTCCATTAGTAATGGATTGTTGGCAAGCATCAGTTTTATTCTTGTAGCTTCATTCCAAGGAAATGCTTATAGAATTTCTGTGTAATATCTGGAATTTAATTATCTGAACCATATCAAGGATTTTAACTAAGCTAAAAGTTATCTGCAGACATTGTACGTGTGGAGCTCCCGAAGATTTTACCACCATCATATAGGGGTATAAGTGTCCGCTATATTTATTATGTTAAAAGTATATTGTTTGGAAGATCGATTGTATTGGGTAATGGAGATCAAAATATTGCCCCTGTAAATACCGCAGTTCAATTGGTGAGTTCCATGCTCGTTTTCTGTACGTCCATTCCAGCCTTAAAATTGTTCTCCTTAAGCTTTCATTATCTCTGCTTAATTGTGGAAATTTTGATCTAGTGATCAATTTGTGTGTTCTTTGCCGAAGTTACTATCAACTATTGAAGCTGTGACTTGTGTTGAAGAACTTGTCTGAGGACATACTTAGTAGATGTGCTAGTTAGACATCAAGTTGGATCCTCAATCTAAGTATTCTAGGTAGAGAATTAGCAGTACCTTGTTTGGTATAAATACCATTCAAAACTACTAGGATATCATTTGTCTCTTTTAGTGCCTTGTTCTTTCTCAATCTAGAATGAGATTACAATTCTATGTATTTCTCGTATCAGCCTAAGCGCTGAATACGTGGGTTGTCATCAAATTGTGCCTGCAGCCCTCATTTGATATGTTAAAAATAGATGCATGTGCTCAATGCTTGCATTAAATTTCTTTTGAGTAGGTTTTGGTTGGTGCGATTGTCTGTGTTGGCTTTGCAGGCCCTAAATGCTCGATTTTAGCTCAGTATCAAACCCATATCTTGGTAGTAATGTCATTACGTTAGTATTTATGTGGACTACCAAGGATCAATATGATTTTTGTGTTGTCTGTGCTTAAGACATTTGTTTCAGTTTCATGCGTTCAGTCTTCATTCTTGTTCTTGTTAAGTTTTCTTATCAGACAAGTTTAGAGGCTTAGAGCATGATAAAATACACACGTTTAGAGTTGGTTCTTCTAGCTCTTTGCAACCACCTCTTAAAGTGTTGCGTCAGTGTTTTTTTAAGCTACATTTGAGGTTATCAGTGCTTGTGTATGATTACAATTTACTATTGTATTGGAAACCACCTGATGCCACCTCTTCATTTTATTTTTATAATCATGAACTCAATCTGAATTTGCCTATCCGTGTTTCTGGCATTTCATATAAGTGCAATTGTGTAAATACTCTACCTTGGAGTAAGACTAAAATCAACATGGTTATTGCAGGAAGCTCGAGTCCCATTGCAGATATGTGTTTCACAGAAAAGTAGCAACCTACTAAATGAAGAAGGTCAGTGGTGTGTATTTACCAACTTGAGGTGCTGAAACTTCACTAACTGTTTGTGAATGTGTACTGACTGAAAAATCATGATACAATAATATTTCATATGTTCTTATTTCTAATGATGCTTACTCCACTCCATTTTTGTGTGTATGCTCATTGAGCTTGCTATTCTGTTGGGATACATAGCTGACCATGTTGTGCCTGTCCCAGTGAACTTTCCACTCCCAATTGAGCAACCGGATATATTTTGGAGGGAAAAGGACGAAGATTCAGAATGGGTGGGTCCTTATATAAGCTGTTTTGCACCTCCCATATTTCACAATACTAAATTATTTCTTGATCCTTTTCTTACACATTTTCTTACATGAGTTGGCAAATATTTTCGTTACTTTGATGAAGTACAGCAGCATTTTGCAAAGAAATGCATCATAGTTTGTTAAGCATAAAAGATGAAAGCATTCATAAATCTTGAACTATTTTCCAACAGATGATATTTTGCATCTATGCATACAAAGTAATTCTAGTAATCCTCATCTGAACCATTGAGTCTAACGATTAACGTGCATCAGTATACATGCACTTGATTTATCGCTCTTTGCACTTATGTTGACACATCGAATTGTTTTTGCAGAGCAAAGCAAATGATAATACTGATTTAGAAGAAGGATATGATAGTTCAAAGGATGAAGTTTCATCTGTTTCCTCCTACAACAAAGCAAATCCAGAAAGCTCCCTCAGGAGCTCAGTGTCGATGCACTCCCTGTCATCACGTCTTTCCACTAGTGAACCATTGTATTCTAGAGAACGCCCCAGTTTCCCATCTTATAGTCCAATTCCTCGACTATCAGTATCAGAGATTTCAGATGATCATGGTGGAGGTAAGGTGGAGTATTTATTTTTTTGACGTGAATTTTTGAATTGTTCAAGAGGTACAAATCAACAATATTCTTAAGGAAATATTAAATATAGTCTCAAGTTTTTTTTCCCTATGTGATTCTTTATCAGTCTCTTCCTAGTGATTAATCTGCCCTTCAGCTCTTGTCATACTTTTAGTAATGTTCGTGATTGTAATATTTATGTCCGGTGGATTTTCCTTTTACAAATTGATCATATTTGTGGTGCATCTCATAGCATTTGTTTTGCTATTCCTAAAACCACAGCTTTGACGTGATTTTGCCATTTGCAAATACAAAATTCTGATAGAGCATTTGTATAAGATATCCTTATTCTAGTTCATGATGGTCGTTTAATTTAATCGATCAATGGCACAAGCAGGTGTGGTGTCACCTCAAAGGAAGCTAAATCATTTGCTGTCAGATCATCATCCATCAAATGGACAGATGTTTTCTCTAGATCCTGACCGCTCAAATGATGATGCTGGACCACCTCTCACACCAAAATATGTTGAACCAGCTGGATGTAAGCCATCCTCACATACTGTTTCAGATCTGGAGTTACTATATCTCGCTATTCTCTTTATTATAGGTTTACATAACATGTAGTCAATATTGATTTGCAGTACTAAGTTGCCATTACAATTTTTTGCAGCAGAAGGCTTTATGAGAGGAAGATCGTACAACATAAGAATAGATGACCAAGTGTTGCTTCGCTTCTCACCAAAGAATTCTGACTCAACTTATTACTTTGGTGATATGGTATTGTCTGATTTGATTACATGTGTAACCGCATTATCAATGTTAGAAACTTATAACTGATTATCTCAGTTCTTCTAATTGCAGATTGGTGGAGCACTCACCTTCTTTCATGGATCTGGAACACGAAGATGCCTAGAGGTAAAAGGTTGAGTTGAGTAAAATGTGTATTGGAGTGGGATTTCATATTGGGAATGTTTTGGTACTTGCAGGTATCTGTTACCTTGGAAACATCAGAAACGGTTAATCCTCGTGTAATACATCCTTCGAGAAGGAGCTCACCCTCAATAACCAAGGTATATTTTCTGCACTAGTGTTCTGGACCACTTTGATATTATGTACCAACATCTGGTCAATGGTTTATTTGTGTAGCTTGAGCAATTCTTTAGTCCGATTAATAGTTTGTACGGAATCAGTTTGAACTTCTGTTCTTACCTACATAAAGTATTTACTTTGATTCCAATGATGTAGTTATTTTCCTCAAGCCTCAGCCATTTATATACAATTACAATATACTGATGCGATCTGACATACACACTAGTGTTCACAACCTCATAAAACCAATCTTATGTTGGTTAGCTACAAGGATGACCATGAATCAGATAACAATAACATCTGCACAATTTTTGTTGTTAGTTCATGACACTGCTTCCATCCTTTTTCCCCGTGTAAACATATGGGGTAAGCATCTGTTGGAAGGAGGTGGGAGAGCTGATAAGCTACTCTAATGAAGGACCCCTACCTTTTCTTTTCTTTTTTTCTTTTTACCGTGGGGAAGGAGTGTCGGGAGTACAATCACTGGCCAAGGGAGACCACAATGGGACTTTAGGGATTAGGAACTTGTTTACTCATCTTTGCTCGACTAAAGAAGGTGCAATGCCCTTCTGTGGTGATGACTCTACCTAGGAAATGTAGAAATAGTCTTTAGAAAACACATGGAGTACATTAGTAGTAAAGCTTCCAAAAGAAAAAATAACCTAACCTTTGGAAAAACAAACTACCTGTGCATGAACAGCAATTGCAGCAAACAGTAACTATGGAACAATAAGCATGATGGACAATGCCATTCGAACAGTAGGGATGTGCTTAACACTTTTATTTGTCGAGGAAAGGGCATGTGCTAATTGCCCTCAAACACAAAATATTAGTCATGGCCATCAAGAATCTATAAGCACCTCTGAGTCTTAGACTTTTACCTGCTATTGATAAATCTAGTGCATTCTAGTAACATGCCAATATCAAATGTTGTGTATTCTGCTAGCTTCTTTTTCACCAAAAAGACCACCTTTTGTCTTTATGTACTTACACTGTTTGCTTTCGACGGGAAGCAGGGTTACTTTGCTTGCCTTTTGGTCTAAAAAACATTTAGTCATTTACACTGTAAAATCAGCAAATTGATTTTAATGATTCACTCATTTTTCTCTGGACTCTCTGCAAAGGTACACAGTGAGCACTATGAAGTTGTTGCGGATCTTCACCAGACAAGCTTTCTCTTTTCAGTTCCAATTGATGGACCAATGTCATTTTCCACTTCAAAAGTTTCTGTGCAATGGTCTCTTCGATTTGAGTTCTTCACAACTCCCGAAGGAATTGATTCATCTAGGTATGTAACAGTATTAACAATTTTATGTGCTGTAGCCTGATAGCATTATCTTGGACACCGTGTCTCTTAACAGCGCAGGGTTGGATTGCTAAGTAGGCCACGAGTTGTTTCGTACCTTCTGTGCTGTTTCCATAATTTACATCAATAGTAGAATGATTCCTTCATAGAAATAGGAGATATGTTTTATGCTCATCGTCCTTAGATGTGCATAGCAATACACAAGCTATAATCACCACAGCTACAATTAGTTTCTTCAGAACTATGCTAATTATTGGTGTTAAGCAATTTGTTTCAACCATTATCTGGTACTGCCATACTGGGAAAGGGTGATCTTTTCTAGTCTGCTGCTGTTAGTTTTGAATCAGCAATTCTGGTTTCTCTCTTTTGGCAGGTATGAACATCCACTTCTCGTCGAGAAAAGAGAGAAGGGTGACTGGGTGCTTCCAATAACTGTTTATGCACCTCCATTGCGTAGGCAAGCAATTCATGGAAGAAATGATAGATCTGTCTTAGTTGGGAACCTTTTCAACTCTTGAAGGTATGCAGCCTTCTTGCATATGCCTGTCTTTTCACCTGTCCTGCTAGGGATTTACATCTCGGTTATGAAAGAGAACACAATAGAGACTGAGATTTCTGGTTTCCGTGGTAGCAGAAGTCTCTGATCGATAATCACCCAAAACACTCAAATAAACTTTGAACTTTTTGTGACATGAATAATATTTTTGCGATACATTTGATTTAAAGGTTAAAATGTAGATTCCATATAATCTATAAACAAAACCTATTTTAGCAAAAAGAATCCAAATTTGAACTGAAATCACTGAGAAATCCGGTTGCTGGCTGAGACCTTTTCAGCTGGCCATGCCTTTTCTTTGGACAAAATTGGCGTTTCCTGAAGCTGGAAAGGGAAAACTAAGTTTCTTTTAAATAAGAATACAGAAGTAATTTTTATTGTTTCAATGAAGGCAAAAGTAATCTCACTATAAGCTGTTATAGGATGGAGTAGTATAAATTTGATAGGCTGAATTTCTTTCCTCTTGGCACCTATCTATAATTCAATCAAACTATTTATTTTGCTTATTCATCTATTTTTGTACCAATATTCAACCAACTGCTATGGTAGTTTTATTTCTTTAGTTGATGAACATTGGGGATCTGAATATCTTACCCTGTTGCCTTCAAGCTCAGATGTGCATACAAGGTTCTGCTGTTCTTTTCAAAACCCCTACCAGTTTTGCTTCCGATGAGCTTCGACGAGTATTCTCTGTAGTTCACTTTGCACAGCTGGCCAGTTCCATACCTCTAAAATACATGGGAGATCCGGAACACATAAAGCGAGAACAAACTTGTGTTAGATCAAGTGTGCAAATCACAGAGTTCGTCACCTGAGAACAGGCAGCTGTGCCTTGATGTAACATCGGCACTGCTTGATTACCTTGATGTACTATAGGCATTCCTTTGATAGAGGGACAAAACTTTTGGGGTGCTTGATTAGCTGTTATACCCCTTTTCATTCGGTATGTGTATACGTGAGACATCTGCCTTGTAATTCAATTCTTTTGTGGAAACCAAACATATAGCAGTACGCTGGTTGTCCAGAATCCAGATTACACACGTCCTGTTTCTGAGACTATTCTTGCTGCAGAGTTTCAGTAAATCTTCCATGGTCCATTTTGTTTGCCATTAGCTAGATGTGCACACAATCAAATTCAAGGCTCTGCAAGCGTACAAGCTACTGTTTCATTAACATGCATATACCATACTGCTCAATCATGTCTCCATTTGGAAAATAATAGCTTTGCGTGCTTCCGTTCGTGTGTGTGACAACTAGTTTGATTACATTGTTTCTTGCCGTCGTGTTGCTTCCGAGCCATCAGTTTTTGGTCTCCGATTCTTGTGACAACAAACACCGTTTTGTTCTCATCGGAATATCATCGTAGAGGTTAGGGGGTTTGTTGTGTTGGCCTTTGTCTCTTTAGCATGTGATAAAAGAACACATTCGTATAAGCGTGTCTTCTAAGTAATCGAAACAACAAAAATCCATCTTCCGAAATGCTTCACATACAACAGCACAAGCACACCATGTTTCCTCCATCAACTAAACATATGCCAACAAGCATCCATGTGAAATACAACTTACGATCATCTTCCATCACAGATTTGATTAATAATCAATCCACCATAGTACTCCAATCCATAGCCTTCAATTTCATAGTAATTATATATGTATCCTTCTAGGCACCACACACGCAAGAGCAGAGGAATGTGCACACAAAAGCCACAACCACACCACGTGCACTTGCAACCAACAACCAATGTTTCTTTTCTCTGCAATTAGCCACACTTATCAGTTTATTAACCCCAGTTAGGTGCCCTGTCAATCTATCACCACCTTGCAAACGCCACACGGCCTCACTCTCCAATGCCAGACTTTCTCTCTCGTTTTCTTGCACAAGTTGCTGCCTCAATCACCGATGGTGACCGGAGACATTGAAGACGGTCGCCGTCGTCCGGCCGCCGCCGCCGCCGGAAGCTACCGGAAACCGGAAAGCTCACCTGACCGGGATCGAAGCCGACTGGAAGGCGGTTTGGGTGTGTGGTGTGGTGGCCTGCATCTAGTTGGATGGAAGGAATCCAGGAGGAAGGATCAGAGAAAGAAATAAAGAAATTCAGAGAAAGGGGTTGTCACTGTCCCAGTGGCAACCAACTTGGGTAGTAATTTAATTAGCAGTACTAAATAGTGCACACACATTTGCATGATTAATTAGTGGTTGACAATGCTGGTCAATGAGCTGAGAGAAAAGAAACAGGCTTCTTTGATCCCGGTATTTTGTCCTGTTTTCGTTGCTAGTCGTCTTCCCTTGGTCTCTGGTTTTCTCTCCCTCTATCCTTTTCAGAGTTCTCTAAAAGTAAAACGATGAGTTTTTAGTTTTGAAGACTAACGCAATAAGACTTTTTTAAAAGAAGATATTTTCAAGACAAAAACAATGAGATGAAGCATTCACAAGTGCACGAGGTTTTCTACCATATGTGGTAATTTTAACTTTCCTTTTCGTAATTTCTTGTTGCTACTTGTTCTCTACTCTATACTTTTCATATTAGAAGTCGTTCAAGTTTTTTCTTAGTCAAAGTTATCTAGGCATGATCAAATTTATAAAAAAAATTAGCAATATTTATAACATCAAATTAGTTTCATTAGATTTAACATTGAGTATATTTTGATAATATGTTTGTTTTGTATTGAAAACGTTACTAAATATTTCTACAAACTTGTCAAACTAAAAGAAGTTTGATTAAAAAAAGTCAAACGACTTATGTAGTATGAAACGGAGGGATTACTATTCACAAGTCACACCTCTCGTTGCTAAGAAACAAACGATAGTATACAATAATTGATAATGTAGTGCTTATTTTATTTCTAGTGCACTGTGCGTATCGTTGTGTTCATGTCCACTGGATGTCAAGGGTATTGTCCTTTGCTGATGTCGACTGCATGACGTCACAGTTTGAGAGCACGAGGGTTTGAATAATTGTTGTTATTTTTCTAAAACTTCGCATTGATGGGCATGGACCCAACCAATGTAAGAGAAGCATTAGCAATAAAAAAACAAAGTTAGCATATCTTTCGATAGCAATTAGCACAGCAGATCAGGACAGGATGCAGTGGTTGGCCGTTGGTACAGCCTCAAAGGACACCAACTTGGGGTGCTCCAATCAAGACTAGTTTTCAACCAATTACTAATTAGGTAATTTAAAATACCGTTGGTTTAATTTATTTATCATATAGTTTTCTTTGTTAATCTTCCATCTTCCCTAAATGAGTAGTTTTAATCAATACTTGGTAGTTTCGACAATCATTTTCTGTCCCATATATAGCTCACATGATCTCATATCCAGAAAGCAAGCAAAACAAAATATCATCAAAACAAGAAGAAGAATGGATAAGAACATGATAGTCCATTTGATGTGCAATTGCTGAATGGTAAGGCAACAAGGTCATCAATTGTAAGGAAGTAATTGCTCCTTTTTCGCAAAAGAAAAGAAGAAGTAGTTGCTCTAAAAATGTTCAGAAAATCCTACTTTACGATTGGGAGCAACTTACTTTAGGATCCTATGTATCTGACTTTATTATATAAAAGAAGTATCTGACTTAGAAACTTGCCAAAGAAAATATCCACTTGCAAATTTTTAAGGCCAACCTTTTTGTTTGTTAGTTGTGAGGTGACAACTGTACTAAGAAAACGAAGAAACACCTCCCACCCAAAAGTTCTTTTTTGGCTACAATAGTTGCAATGTACATTTGGACTTTCTGAGAGGCAGGATGGAGATGGATATCCAACATCTTGGAGGGACATGGATAATGGAGTGGATGCAGAAGTATACCTCACCAATTATAATTAAAAAAAATCTGAAGAAATACATGTGCTGTTCTTAGCCTCTTGCAGGGGATGCATGAATCTAGCACCACAACTGATTGAAGAATTAAAGCCATGAAAAAGGCTGGTAGATGAGAGATAGAGAGATACCATACTATGCAGACAGTGGTGCATGATGATGAGTTCAATTCTTTCAGAGAAGTGTAATGTGGGCACCAATTTAGTAAATGCAGAGAGCAATTTCTTCCAAGCAATTAAAGGAAGAAAATGATACCAAAGGTAGGTCACTGTTATTGACAACAACCTAGGATTTTTTTTCTTCTGGTGATAATTAACAGAAAGTCAATCATGTGGAAAAGGAAGAATTTTGTTAGCTTGTAGCTATTGTTTGAGATAAAGCCAATTTCTCCATCCAAAACCTTTGATTACTGAGTTTATATATAGCCTTTAGCACTGCCATTTGTCTTTTTCATCTGAAAAAAGTATATATAAATCTTGTATCAATACTATATAGATCTTCCAAATTGAGTGATGAATATCAAAAGAACAACTAGATCTTGTTTAAGATTACAGGACATAGAATGCTTATTATATAACCAAGCAAGATTAATAACCTATGTAAGTGTCGTTTTCTGCCAGCTTACTTACACACCTCTGCAAATGTGAAGGCCAACACTCATCCATAAAAAAGAAAAAAACTTCACATACAAGAGTACTATAAAAAATCTAGTGTTAGTCTCATGAAGGTAATTAATTTCCAGCTGTTCATGGTCATAGACACCTGTTGTTCACATCCCTTTGCAATTAGTAAACTTAAACAAACACTTAATCATACCATCCTTTTTCCGTGTTCAGTGAAACTCTGAAAGCGAGACAAAAATAATTGGTGGCTTCAAACAAACCACATTTCTCTGCACATTTCTTGTGCAAGATCGAACAAATGGAAGATCATGGAGATCCATGTTGTGCAACGGAGACAATATTTTCAACTGCCAGCCATGGAAGGGATGAGTACAATTTCCATTCTGAAAACAAGCTTAAAAATGGTGATCAAGAGGGAGAGCTCCATATGCGAAAGAACAATTACATATTTACATTTGAGAGACCTGCAGACAGATTTAAGCACCCAAATTTGATCATTCCTTCTATAAATATCCCACCAATAACCCTTGCATACACATCACCAATTATTGCAACCATGGGTGCAATACTTACTTAACCATCATCACCATTGTGTTTATCCCCTTCTCTCTCTCTCTCTCTCTCTCTCTTTTTCTTTTTTGAAGACCATCCAAACCTCTCAACCAAAATGCAAAAATTCTCACAAAGTAAACCAAAAGGAAATTGAACCTCTAATCCCAAATACTAATTAAGATGCGTACATTTCACCAACGAAATCCATCCTCGATGAACCAAGAGGCGATTGGAACAGGTCGGCAGCCATGCCTTGGAACACGTCCTCCTCCTCCAAGAAGCTCAAGAACCCTCCCGGATTCAGATCCATCCACAGGTCGGTGTGATCGGGATGATCGTAGCCAAATCCATGGCCTTCCTCCACCTTCACCTCGCACTTGATCTTCTTCTTCTTCTTCTTCCTCATCATGCTCTCGTCCTCCGCCGGCGCCGGCCTCTTCTTGGTGGTGACCTTCTCCTTCTTTTCGTCGAGCACCGCCACCGGCGATGGCGGCGGCAACGTCGTTTCTGCCGATTCTTGCTGCTGCTGCTGCTGCTTGCCGGTGAGGCGCTGCACGAGGTCCCGGAAGTTGGCGACGTCGGTCTTGATGATCTCTGGCGCAATGATGTGGATGATCCTTATCTTGGGCCTCTCCTTGTGCGCCGCCGCCGCCTCCGGCGAGCCCTTCTTCGCCGCCGCCGCCGATGGCGGCGGCGGCAGCGGCGTCGATGGGCTCATGCTGTTGTAGCTGCACTCACCCATATCTCGCCGAAGACGAAGAAGACGATGGTAGCTAGCTAAGCTAAGCTAAGCTAGTGTGAGGAGAGGATAGGAGAGAAAAAGATTGAGAGAGGGAAGTGATATGATGTGATGTAGAAGCTAGAGATTATTTTGTCAAACAATCTTAGCTAAGAGAGGAGATGAGGATTTGGGTGTTTGGACTTTAGGGGGGGTATATATGGTTGGAGAAGCAAAGGAAAAAGAAAGGAGATTAAATTTCAAGGAGTTGAGCAACTTGCAAGTGGCAAATTGAGTATGATAGGGTGAAGAAAACTATTAGTGTTTTAAAGGTTTTTTTGGGCGAGAGAGGAGAGATGAACATGACAATGACAATGACAATGAAATGTGTATAGCACCAAGAGGATACGTACAAAAAAAGGCAGATACCCTTCTCAAAATTTAAAACTGTTCATAACTCCAGCGTCGACAAGGATGCCAAGGTTTTAGAATTAGATACATGTCGACCTTTAGCTAGGCCAGGGCAGTATCCTGAATTAGGTGCATGTCGACAGTAAGGGTGGTATATGGTTAATTAATTAATTTTTTCTCTTATAGTATTATGTAAGTTGAGAGTAGTTTAGCAAGAGAGATGTTTGGTGTTGCTTTGCACTACTATCATGTACTTAGCTGATAGCTAGGTAGCTAGCACCTTGATTGCCATGTGGGTATGGATCATATAGTTGCCTCTTCAGGTGATTAATTAATTAACATATAATCAAGTTGTGACACATGCTAACATAACTAGCATGCTCATATTTTATCCCTAGAGCATACATATATCACACACATGCCCTTTGGACTTTGTTGTTGATTATTATTACTACAAGTAAATACATACATCGATAGGCTCACAGCGTATATACGTGCACATATGAACTATGACGCAACAAGTTGATCGTGGAGAGAAAAAAATATTTTCAAGTTGAAGATTGAACCACTGCTTTGGAGCCGTGTAACTAAGGCCATATTTAAGAGAACTTTTAGCCAGTTGTACCTTCTCTAAACATGATAAATTCTCACATAAACTTTAAAAAAATTGTAAGTGTAGAATCCAGATGACAGAAGCCAAAAAATAAAACTAGAAGTACTAAACTGAGGAATTGGCTTTTTCAGATTTCCAAAGCTAGCTACGCAACCTAATTTTCACTAGAAAATTTTAAGCTCCGCTAAACCGGATAGGGCATCACCGAGAGATATCCTAAAATCAATCTCCACAATTTTGTTTTCAGAAATCATAAGCAAAATTTGAAGTGTGAAAATATTTATCTTTCCAACATATGTCTAAAACTGATTTCTTATAAGGGGAAAACATATATTGCAAACCACATATATAGTGAAAATATGAAAACTATTGTTGGATCCATAAATGAATGTATGCGATTTGTCTACGTTATCAGGAGTAAAAATTTTACTCAATAAAATTTGTACTCATAGTTGAATCTGGGAGTAAAATTTTTACTCTAGGTAACGTGGACAAATCCCATATGTCTATTTTTAGATCAAACAATACTTTTTAGGTTTTCACAATACATATGATTTGCGCTACATATTTCTCCTCTTAAAAGTGAAATGCATGTGGGCTCGAAATATGATTTTTCAATCCTTCCAAACGCCGTTACTGCTGATGACCCCCCGAGCTCACCCTCAAATCCGTGGAATTCTCGACTTGTGGAGAGTGGATATCCGCGGATTGGGAACGAGTCGGGAATGGAGCCATTTTTTTTTCCAGAAATCCAAAATTATAGGGTTGGGGATAGTATAGCAAAATAGCATAGCCCCTGCATATTTTGCGATAGTCCGTAAATTATTTTCGATCGTTGGATCTAGCTGGGTAGAATCCTTTTCAATCATTTGATCTAACAATGCTCATCCAATAATTGAAAATGATTTGTTTGTGTGAGGTCCCGGTACCTGAAGATATTTTTTATTGGAACGAAGCAAATCTTAAATTTTATCCTAAAAACTAAAATTGAATTTTTCTGTTAAACTACCAACAGAATTTCCCTTCTCCTCCGTTAATGGCGCGCTATCTCCTTGCGCTTCTCCCTGAAGCCACGCCATGCCTAGCAACAGAGCGAATATCCTGCATAGCAACAAAGCGGATAATCCATGCAAGGCAGTAATTAAGGGATCTGTGTTTAGTTCACGTTAAAATTGAAAGTTTGGTTGAAATTAAAACGATGTGATGGAAAAGTTGAAAGTTTATGTGTATAGGAAAGTTTGGATGTGATGGAAAAGTTGAAAGTTTGAAAGAAAAAATTGAAATTAAACTCGGCCTTAAATCCTTCAAAATTGGTTTTGGGGTGAAATAGGAGGATCATTGGTGATGCTCGGCGCTTGATTACTGCTGATCCAGCGTTGCGCGCCAGCGAGAGCCGCGGACGAGGCATCGTACGGCGCTAGCGGCGGGCGGTTGGGATGGATTTCTCACCGTCTGTCTCCGGACAGCCTGGTTGTTGCACGTTTCTGTTTCGGCTTTAGCCGTTGGCATGCAAATTTTCTAAGTTTTACTTGCACTAATAATTTTGGTAGAGGATTCTTCGCCCTCGTGCGTTGCTCGCGTATACTTGCTTCATTTTACCAATAGATAACTCTGTTGATTTTTGATTTTGATATAACGTATACATTGTTGATTGGATGTACCCGACTACATTATTAGTATAGCATGAGAAATGCGGGTACGAAAGTATACATGAGATTGTGGTAAAGTAAGTGAAAATAAGGGATTTCTTTACCAATTTAGACCAACAAGATAAATAATATCCTTAATTTAGTTTATATATATAGCTTTAAAATGTCTCACATATTACAGTGGTGGAGCAAGCTAGCTAATTAATCTAGCCTTCCAACTAATACTCGTCGAGAACTATCCAACAACTAGCTATTGACTTTCTTCTATGGATCTACGATCCGGAAGGAGTTTTGTTTATTATCTGCTACATTCCTATATTTGAACACTCCTTCGTATATAGGTATACGGTATTTTAGGAGATTACGAACCCAAGTATAAAAAATATACCTAATTTGAAACATTGATAGTAGTCCCTGATCTCAATGCAAATGATGGAAACAACGTTCCCGGCTATATAATTCGAGAAAGTTAACTTTGCTGGGATATTTGATCACTCGAGAATTAGAGAAGGCTTGTAATCCTTGAACAAGTTCTCCTCGACCATAGGTCGCAACATTGGCAAGTTTTGAATTTGGATTGAGGTAAAAAAAAAACAGCCCTCATAGATAGGAAACCGCTAAATTTATGTAGAAAATTTCTCCGGCTTTCTCGAAATATGAACCATCACTTCGTGGTTTATAAGACCTATTTACGAGATTTATTGGAGTTCCTTTTGCAAGCAATGTCGTTCTTCTCCCTTTCCGCCCTCAATCCACCGTAGACCCTAGCCAAAGTTTTTCCTTTCATCACCAAGATCCCGATGGATCATACCAAGGAAAATACGTGCCTGTGCGGTAGAAAATTTGTGATGATTTTTTTTGGTCTTGCATGCCTGATTTTGTTGTTTGGTTGAAAAACTGAACCTGAGTAGAAATATAACGGAGTGAAAAGTGAACTTTATGTAAATATAAATAAAAGAGAAGACTATTATTTTTGATGCCTAACATATACTTTTACATATTTATACTAAAATTTTAAATAAAATGAATGCTCAAATATTATGTGAAAAGTCAACGACGTCATAAGTAAAATAGCGATTAACTGATTATTGGATATGCTAAAAGTCTTATTTTTTTTCTCTCTTTTTTAAATGAGTTGAAATTCTTATTTTCATTGCTTTAGTTACATGATTCATGCGAAGTGAGTATAGCATAATTGGTAAGATTTATTGTGGTGGAACCATCCCATCCAAGTTCAAGTCCTCACATTATTTTCAGTGGTAAACGACGTACCGGTATACAGCGAGACGCTCGTCAATCTCAAGATATACCGGCACAATCTTCCAGAGATATATGCGCATGTTACGAGCGTATGTGTTTGTACTGTGTTTCTAAAAGAAAGAAGTTACATGATTCATTTTATAGTAATTGGCAACTAAATAAAAGAATAAAACAAGTACACCTTTTAACAAATGTCAATTGGTCTCACTTGCCTATCGCGTGTGCTCTTGGATACGTGCGCTTGCACGTACTCCACCATCTCGTCCTTGATCACCGGGAAGAGAAGTGATATATAATAGTAAAATCCATTCGTCATGCTGGCTCCTCTTTTCCAAGTCGTCTCGTCTCGTCTTATAATAACAGCGAAATTACTAGTAACATAATTGTACATGAAAGCTACTCTATCAATCTATGAGACGAAGCTGACATGAAGGAGCCGCCCATACTCTCTTAGGGCCTGTTTGGGGAACTTTAAATTCTGAGAAGCAGCTGTTTGGTAGCCAGCTTCTGAGAATCTGGAAAAACTCTGAAACCCAACTTCTCCAGCTTCTGATTTCTTATTTCTTAGTTCATTTTTCATAATATGTAACTACAGATTCTTAGAAGCTGTAGACTGTTTAGGGCAGCTTCTAGCAGAAGCAGCTTTTAAGAAAAGCTGTAGCTGGGACAAGCTCTTCTAAACATGGCCTTAGTCTCTTGACGTGACGAGATGGCCGGATCGATCGAGGATCATATCCAAAAGCCAGAAGCCAGCAGGGAGGCGTTCCGAGCAAGTTGGGCTTAATCTTCTCTGCTAATTGCATCATCGATCAGGATCAGGGTCAACATCCAGAAAAGGAAACACTGTCGGCTACCATTTGCTGGGATTTATTACTATTCTAATCCCACTCGCCATTCCGTAGGAGCTTAATTATCGTGATGACCTTTGATTACTTTAATCTATTTCTTCGGCCATTGTTGTCGCGGTTTTATCTGTCTTGTCGAGCCGCACTACGCCAGATCCTCACACCTCTGACGGGATACCTGTGACGGGCAAACGATTTGGTCACTAGTGACCATTACCTCTGACGGGTCAGACGGGATAACGTCACCGGTGAGCCATCCGGCCGCGGACCGTCACAGGTATCCCCTCACCTGTGACGGGCCGAAAGGAAAACCCGTCAGAGGTATACCAGTGACGAGTTTTGCTTCCAACCCGTCACTGGTATCCCCTCACCTGTGACGGGCCGATACATTAGAAGCCGTCAGAGGTGATGGGCCGCCACCTGTGACGGCTTTCATTTCTGGCCCGTCACAGGTG